GGTTTCAATTGAAGAAGCCTCGTAGTTATAAGCAACTGGAATATTTGGAAGTAATGAATATGGTGAAAGCCTCATAAGAGCTTTCAAGACCAGATGGTGTAAGTAATACGAGCCCCTTCCCACTTCAGTTGGCCCACTTCAAGATTTGTACCAAAATATGCCTTTATAAGCTAAACATGAAACTATTTACTTCTAAAACAATTTATTTTCTCAAAAACATTTTAGATACACTCTAGTCGTAAAAAATACATATTTGAAATCAGTTAGACCTATAACTAATAGAACATCTGAAGAAATAAACAATGTGCGAATAAATGCGCGAAGTTAACAAAGCAACAATTGAAAGATTACCATTGGGTAACATCACCTTTATTTTTTGTTGTTTTAGTGTTAACCAAGTTTTGGCAGAAATTTGGTGTAAAACAATCCCATATTTGTTGAAGCTTTTGTCTCAGTTCGGTGATTGTACGAGCAGGATGTTGTCGTAGAACCTTTTTCATGTCATGCCACAAAGTTTCAATAGGTGACAGATCTGGACTGCTAGAAACCCATTTCAAAAGTGGTACATTATTTTCTTCCATCCATTTTATAGCCTTTTTTGAGGTATGGCACGCTGCACCATATTGCTGAAACACAAAATCTCGGCCAGATGTCAAACATTCTTCCATCACTGGTAAAAGCGATTCTTCTAAAATTGCCAAATATTTGTTTGTATTCACATTTCCATCAATAAAATGAAGTTTTCCTACTCCTTTTGATGACATACTGCCCCAGACCATAATGAGTGCTGCAAATTTCACTTCTCTCTTCAGACAGTCAACATGGAATGCTTCATTTTTTTGCGAATAACTCTACTGCGACTGTCACCAACACAAACTTCGAACGGGCCTCATCACTCCATTGTATTGCACACCACTGTTGAGGTGTCCATTCTCTATGCTCTTAAGCCCATCTAAGCCGATTTTTCTTTTGCAGTGGAGTTAATAGTGGCTTTTCTTTTGCCTATAAACAAGTTGCGCAACTTTAGGGTTTTTACTTCATTTTTTGTATAAGAAAACTTACCTTGCAAGTGTTAAATCCCAGTTTGTGGGCCTCTCTATGAGTCACTCCACAGAGCACTTAATTGTTAATAATTGGCACGCCTGTTTTTCACGATTATTCTTCTTAATGCTCTTCGGTCGGCATTTGTGATATTACTTTTTTTCACATATCGTGGCTTAATATTAACTGAACCAGTTACGTTATATCTTCTAACAATATTTCTCACACTGTCCCGCGATAAGTCTAACAAAATTGCAATTTCCGAGTTTGATTTCCCAAAATTAAAAAATTTAATTATCAGTAACCGATATTTCTCACTAATAACCTTTCCTCTACCCATTTTGAAAACCTTAACTACCCAAAACTATTTTAAACCTATTTTGACAGCTGTGATTAATAAAAACAATTGTCATGGCTTTTATTTTTCACATCTACCTATGCGTTAAAATAGGTTGATATGCTGTAATTGCAACATGTGTTATTTTTATGCTGCAAATTTGATTAGGGAGTGATAAAGTTGGTGTTTTCTACTATATATTATCAAAATATTCATTATTAATATTTTAAACCTATAACACCCTGCTACATTTTTATTATTTGTGTTTGATAAGAAAAAAACTAAGATTTCAATAGTTGGGCCAACAATATACATGACTTTGTACCTTGCGTTGATGACTGCGCCAAACACTAATGGTATCTGTCAGTTTCATTTGATAACGTTAAGGTTAAGGTTATGATTTGTTCATGTTATGGTTCCTATACCCTATTTGACGAGTATCCATCACTGTAGAATGACGGCTGATTATCTAGTAATATCTCAAAATTCTCCATATCGGCACAGGACACATAATTCTGACGGATCCGTCAACGCCAGGTAGACAGAGCCGAATTTTGTTTGTTTATCGTACGCAACAGATTCATTTTCAGCTCTTTTTTAGAAAAGTTCATTTGCATATAAAAAACAAAACGCCAGAAACAAGTTTTACTAGATTTGCCGACGTTGCTGACTAACACAGAAATGTCACTTGCTGATCAGCTCTTCACCTCAGTAGACGTCATGGCGTGACGGATACTCGTGGAATAGAGGTTACTCCTCATCCTCAGATGACGCAGCTTGACTTATTTTCCCAAATACTTGTGTAAAGAATTGTCAAAGGCGCACTGTCAGCGAGAAGTAATTTGATTTAAATTTAAAATAGTTCCCGGGTGATTAACAGAAGCGATTAACAAAATTATTACAAATGTTATCAAGCCATTGTGGCAACGTTCGAATGACATCTTGAAATAAAATATTTCCTTAAACGGTAGTGATTTAAGGAAAGCAAAAACGATCTAATAATCGCTATTATACTTTTCCTCTACTAAACTCAAATCACATATATCATAAAAAACAGGAAATTCAATCTAAGCATTATATCAGCCAGATACCAGTATAAATATGCTGATAAACTTCTAATATTGCACGTAAATGATGATTCACGTAAGTGGATATGTTATCTGATATGTAACTAGAACATGTTAAACAAATATGATTAGAATTTGATTGCATTAGGATGTACAACTATTTTTTTTTTCTAAATAAAGGTTAACAACAATATGCACTTTTTGCTTATTGAAGAATCCAGATATATGTAGAATGCAGAACTAATTGTCATTTTTATTTTGTATACACATTTCAAATGCGTAGGTTGCAAAATAACAAGACAGAATTATCCAGGAAAGACTAGTTTAGATAGCCAAAACAGAATGAAGCTGTCATTTTTTATTTAGCCGAGTAAAATAACAGTATTTCAAAAATTATGTGATTATTTCAACACCAAAACACCATACACTGATGCTATATAATTCGTGTTAGGGCCACTCAATCGTATACTATTTTTCCAAGAATTATACAGGACGTTAATTAAATATGTACCTTAAATTTAACAGACAATTCTTTGAGTAATGTGAAGACAAAAAGTTCATATAAACACAGGTCCGCAAATTCTTGGTGCTCAAGATATAGATAACGGTTTTTCGTAAAACTTTGTACCCAACTGATTTTTTGGAATTTTTATTATGTTTTTTGGATTAAGCAAATAGAAATACAACTTTTTTTACTCTTGAACTTTGGTCGTACCTTGCTTAGTTTTCGAGAAAAAAGTCCACTTAATTGCATATCCCTGGACTAGACAAGGAATTTGGGGAAACGTTTCCACATACGAAAAGCTCAAAACAAATTCTAAAAACTTTCGGTATTCTTCTCCATTAAGTCTGGAAGGAAATTATTCCCACCCGTAAGATGGTCACCAACAATTCCAACCCAAATATTGAAAGAAAACTGTTCTTGAAACTTATTTTCTAAGGCGTGTGGATTGTTTTCGGTCCAAATAAAAACTTTTTGTCTTAACATTACTCAAAGAATCGTCTGTTAAACATTTATTGTATGGTATTGTAATTTATTGTGTTGTTGTCAGTCTAAGTGAATATGTACCGTGTCTTTACTAAACTGCATACTTTGAGCAAAGATCTTTACATTTTGAAATTTTCAACTGTTGCCTAGGAGCTAAAAGAATTAGGAATTTTCTATACAGGGTGGCGCATCGAAAACGCTCAGACCCGTCGATTTTGTTTTCGAGGGGGACACACAGAAGTTTGGCAAAAAATCGCGTTATCACGTGCAGCCCCCTAAGCGGGGGTGACACCACCCCAAAATCTTAAAGGAAAGGGCGGTCGAGTGATGCCTTATTTTAAAGGTCTTTCAATTCCCTTTATAATGATATAAAATTAATGCACTTCAGTTCAGTAGTTTTGAAGATTTATTGATTTAAAGCTTAAATAAAACTAATACATCATCATTAGTGGAGATCAATACATTTGGCAGCAAAGTAAATTAAAAAGGAAGAATGAACTGACCCGTTAGGAAAGTAAATGTTGAAAATGACCACCATGACTCTTCATGCAATTATAAAGATTTTGCTCAAAACGTTGCCGCACATTTTGCAATATTTGAGCAGTAATTTGAAGGCACTCATTCACAATTCTTTGTCGCAGGTCTTCTAATGATCTTGGCTGAGTAGCATAGATTTTACTTTTTAAATGACCCCACATAAATAAATCGAAAGGTGATAAATCTGGAGATCTTGTACCGCCGATCATTCTGATTTTCAATTATGGCTGTGAATGCAGGATGTATTGCGTCTTCCAGTAATTCCAAATACATTTCACCGGTCAAATTTCCAGGTAAGAAAAAAGGACCAACTAAATGATCGCCAAAAATACCAGCTCAAACATTTAATTTTTGTGGCTGCTGTGTATGAACCTCATGATAAATTCTGGGATTAGAATCGGACCAATATCCGCAGTTATGACGATTTACTACGCCATTTAAGAAAAAGGAACATTCGTCGGAAAAGCAAGTGTTGAATAGAAAATGTTCATCGTTTATAATTCGTTCACTCATATCTTCACAAAATTGTAATCGCCGATCATAATCGTCTTCATTAAGTTCTTGTATCAGGTGAATTTTATACGGATGAAAACTATCGGCCTTTAGAATCCTTTGGACAGTACGTCGACTAACACCACACACACTTGCCCTAAAACCCCCACTTCTATTGCTTCGTTCCTTATGGGATTTTCAATGTTGCGTTTTTATTGGCGACTGACCCAATTTCCCGAAATTTAGCTACATTTAGCTTCAAAACTACTGAATGTATTTTACATCATTATAAAAGGAATTGAAAGAACTTTAAAATAAGGTATCACTCGACCCCCCTTTCCATTTAAGATTTTAGGGTTGGTGTCACCCCCGCCCAGGGGGCTGCACGTGTTAACGTGATTTTTTGCCAAACTTGTGTCCCCTCGAAAACAAAATCGACGGGTCTGAGCGTTTTTTCAAAAAAAAACTTAGCTGCCAGTAAATGCGTCTGTTTCGTTTTCGATGCGCCACCCTGTATTTATGTATCTAGAATACTTACTGGGCAAGTGAATACAATGCCCTTGAAGTCAAGTTCAGTCGAATCCTGTCCTGATTCAGGGTGTCTATAGATGGTATGAAGATGCAAGCCTCATCTGGATTTGCAGTATAGTACTTAGATTTAACCACAGACTGCAAAAGGGAGTGGTACTCTTTCGAAAGGTGTTCAGTAGCTGGTACTCCATTAGTGTCAACAAACTTTCTTAGTGGATACACATACACTGCTATCCTGTCATGGCCTGTTCTTCCACACCTAGAAAGCAATATTAGTAGTTTATTTGAAAATACGTCATTCACAGCTTCTGAACCAGTTATATACAAATCAACATTTAATAAAAGAAACTCGTATGGAGTATGAAGAAAATTTGCTTACACCAGAGAAAAAGTTCTATGCTTATATTAAAAGTGTATTAAATTCTAAGGTCTCATTCCTCACACTGAGGGATGGTGACGCTATTATAATTGATGCCAAGCAAATATCTAAGCTTTTGCAAAGTTCAACAATGTTTTCACCTTGCCTTTTCACACCTGCTGCTCAGAATCACTTACTTCCATTCAGTTTACACCAGAAAAAGTAGTACAAGCTATTCAGTCTCTAAAGCAAGATTCAAGCCATAGTTATGACAATATCCCACGAATATTTCTAAAAAAAAATGTGAATCCACTTTATCCAACACCCTAGCTGATGCTATAACCAAAGCTTTCAACAAAGGAACTATGCCTAAAGCCTGGCTTCTCTCTTATGTAGTACCAGTATACAAAGAGGTGATAGATATTTGCCAGAAAACTACAGCCTTGTAAACTGATGGAAAAAATCATAACGCGGGAACTCACACGACTTTTACTTCAAAATAACGTCATACCAGACACACAGCATGGCTGGATGATCTGTGATTACCAACTTGCTCTCTGCTTTACAACAATGGACAACTATTGGTGAGGAAGAAAATTCCATAGATATAATATATCTTGATTACAAAAAAGCTCTTTTTGATTTATAAACATGATGTGTATGTGTATGAGGTAAGCTGTTAGGTTGGATAGAAGCATTTCTTTGGCAGACATCCTGTATATATCTGTAAGTTTACATAAAAACAGATAAGTCAGGTAGTGATAAGCATAATTTTTGCCTGTGCATCTAATGGACGTCACAAAGCTGATGCTGCTGACTTATAAGATAGAGAGTTCAATGTACAGTAATGGACAAAAGTATATAGACAAATATGAATATTTACCTAAATACCTTTAGAAAACGAATTCATACTTCATTGCTCCATAAACAAATGCGTTATTAGTAGAAAAACTAAATTCCTTGTTTTTACATTATCTGCAATGAACACAATACAAGTCTGAATATAAGCACTTTTCTATGAGGGACAAAAATATGTAGACAAATTTTTTTCACCATTAGTTTTGTGCAGTTTCGTGTCAGAAGAGGATTTGTTTGTGTTCATCAAGTATTGTGGAATAAGTTGAGGGGTCCAGAAATTTCTTTCGATGTGAAAACGGAGATCATCGAGTTATACAAAGATGATCAACGACTAGTCGACATTGCCAAAAATTTGAAGCTGAAGCGTAAAGCAATTTGGGCAATATTGAACAAATATAAACAAAAAGGTATCTTGGACGCCTCTAAGAGAAGTGGTCGGCCTAGAAAACTAAACGCTATATCAGTTAGATTAATAAAAGTAATTTCATCCAAAGATCCGTTTAAAACCACAAGACAAATAAAATCCGAAATCGAGACAAAAGGAATTTTCAGTGTTTCTACAAAAACTATAAGTAGAAGATTAAATGATTTGAAGTAATTTGCACGTCGCCCGAGTGAAAAGCCGCTAATGTCGAGGAAAAACCGTAAGGTCCGATTACAATTTGCACAGTTGCATCTTGATTGGAGCATCTGTGACTGGAAGAGGGTATGTTTCAGTGACGAATCCAAGTTCAATATGTTTGGTTCGGATAGTGTTCATTACGTTAGACGTCTTAGTGGACAAAGATTGAACCCCAAGTACACTTTTCCCACTTTGGGGGTGCTTTTCGGGGTTTGGGATGGGACCTTTAGATAGAATAGATGGCATTATGGATAAGTTTGTATACACAGTCATACTGAAGCATGTCATGTTACCCTATATGGAAGACAATATGCCCTTAAGATCAATCTTCCAGCAAGATAATGACCTGAAGCACACTCCAAATCTTGCAAAGAAATTCTTTCTGGATGAAAAAATACCAGTTCTCAAATGGCCTTCACAGTCTCCTGATATAAAGCCCATTGAAAATCTATCGGAATACTTATATAAGCAAATAGAAGATAAAAATTATTCAAACAAGGATGAACTTTTTGCCGCTTTAGAGCAAAAGTGGAGACAGATTGATGACTCTTATATCAAGAAATTTCTACAATCTATGCCGAGACGATGCCAGGCGGTGATTGATAATAATGGATATGTTACAAATTATTAACACAGACATGGTTGGTTTTCTATAATTCAATGAACTTTGCTTCTTTTTTCTATAATTGTTTTGCTTTGTCTATATATTTTTGTCCTTCATTGTTCCAGTTTTTTTCAATTAATTTTTTATTGAATTTATTTATGTATAAGTGAGTATTATGCTATAACGAATTCTGTATACAAGTTAAAAAAGAAATACAGCACAATATTAATTTGTCTATACTTTTATCCATTACTGCAAATACACAGTAGGAGAGACTCAATCTATTATCTACTCAAAGCATGAAGCGTTGGCCACCAAGAGTGAATACATGATTGAATTTTGAGCTTCAGATCAATGAGCAGGCAAGTACAACCTCACTTAACTCTGGGTACCAGGACATTAAGGGTACAAAGTCAGATGAGCTACACTCTGTGGCATGATGAGAACATGCACTTAACAGTCCATAAGAAATTGGACCAAGAAAAAGTTCCCAGATTGGTAAAACACCCAATTAGGGCAAACGCAGGCAAAAGTGTTTATCAAAGAACAAAGGCCTGCATTCAAAAATGACCTACTCAGATTTAATAGAAAGACCATGAGAGCCATAGTGGGGCTTCTGATAGGAAATTGTTGTCTAAATTGACATGTGAGGCTCATGGATGTGGCAGACGGGGCCACATGCCATTTCTGCAGAGAGCATGAGAAAACCCCAGTGCATCCCTGTATAACTGTGAGGCCCTGGCAACTTGATGCTAGGAATGAATGCAACTCATGTTCTGCAACAGTATCACTCAACAATGATTGTCAAATGGTCATCCCTATCTAACTTCATTGTCAAACAGTGTTAGGTTACCCTATTGCAAGACTGACAACATAAATGGGTGCTAATAGCTCTCAAGGTGATCAGTGAAAATCTTAGATTGTTGGTACACTGATAAAAAAATCAACGGATCGCAACAGAAAAGTGCATGTAGGGTATTTTGCCAAGTAGAGAAGTGGTATCAACTGAAACACACCTACAAGAGTACATAGAATTTAAGGAGAAACAACCCAACAGATTTTGAGCTGCAGACAAAGTGAATGCAGCACTCATTTTCAAGTAAGCAATGTTTCAGATCTTGATGTATTTTAATAACAAGACTACTTCCAATATTGCCATGATACTAAAATGTATGTTTGTATAATTTTCAATGAACTCATAATAAAACACCAAAACACTCTGATTTGTGTTCAGCTAGAAATTTGTACATTTAAGCACAGATCCTGAGACGTCCTGCAACCCTCCATGATTGACCATCTCATGAATACATTACTTTAATGTATGTAGAAGCATTTTTATTTCCTTACAATCAATTCACTGTAATGGACATAACTGGTTCATTGCAAAGGACACTTTATTGTACAATATACAAAATATTATCTATTCAATGAATAAATAATGGAACTGTGGGTGAGAATAAAGATAAGTTTGTGTAACCTGTAGATATTGAAGCAATCCCAATGGCTGCAGTCTGGGTTCCTTGGTGATCCTACTCTAGCACTGTGTCTCAGACTGACTTCAGGTAGGTTCTTCAAATTCTTGAATTTAACTATCTCATATTTCTTCCAAGAATCATTGGCATAATTCGTATACGGCACAGAGAGCGCTATAAATACCGAAATCACCAGTAACACAAAAAAGAAATTCTTGTATTTTTTATACGCTGGGGCTTTTGTGAAATTGTATACTTTAGAAATTGTGATCCGTGTAGGAACAGTCATGTTTCCTGTAGGAAGAATAATTTACATTTACGATGGCTATTAGTTGAATACATGGCACTGAGAATTATCGACTACAAATACTTTAAAAGTTCACATCGTATCCTCGTTTTGTTTATATTTTAAAGTTCGGTTCGGTGCACTGCACAAGTTGTCAAGCTTGACATATTTCTATGCCACCTCCTCCCACTCCCATGTCGAGCCGTCAAAAATGTCATGACAAGTACAGTACAATAGAGTTGGGCGATGTACATTCTAGATGTAGGTACTAGCTTGAGTAGGCTTTTTTCCGTGCAGTGCTGCCAAACTTAGCGATTTTTCGGTATTTCTACCGAAATCAGACTACCGAAAACGTCTACATTTTCAACCACTTTTTTAAAATAAAGCAGTTGTTTCCAGATTTTTTACCGAAAAAGCGCTAGACCCAAAAATAAAGCTGAAAAAATGAATGCTATGTAGTAATCTATGTGCTTTTCTTCTATCGCTGTATCGCGTCGGTGTGGGGGAACCTTTATGTTAAATAAGGCTGTTACACAAATCATTTTAGATAATATCCCAAAATTCGATATGACCAGTTGTGGAGTGAACTGGAAAACGAAAACGGGCACTAGTGTGCTATCTTAATAGGAACAATACGAAAAATGATTTTTTACATGACTACTATTATTAGACCTAATTGAACTACCGCTGTAATTATCGTATACACGCTAAACTAAATTATGGTTATACAGGGTGACTTCACATCGACAAACGACATGTTTGTGTCGGGAGAACATACAAAACTTAAAAAATCTGAACCCAAACGAAGAATTGTGCCGCCAAGAGACTCATATATGTTGTAGAGACTTTATAGGAGTACATCTTTATGGCATAGCTTTGCGAAAAATAAGGGGACTAAAGGGTGATTTTGCGCGTATTAGGCTTCACTGCTTAAGACAGAAAAAAAAATATCAGAATCCAAGCGAAGAATATTGTGCCACCAACAGACTGACCTATGTTGTAGAGACCTCATAGGAGTACATCTTTATGGCTTTGCGAAAAATCAGGGAACTACAGGGTGATTCTGCGCATACAATGGTTGACCCCTCTTTTAAATCAGAAAAAAATCGCAGAACCCAACCGAAGAACTGTGTCATCAACAAACTCATGTAGGTTGTAGAGACTTTGAAGGAGTAAATTTTTGTGGCATAGATTTGCGAAAAATCAGGGGACTACAAGGTGATTCCCCGCATACAAGACTTCATCGCTTGAAATAGAAAAAATCACAGATCGCAGAGTCCTCATAGAAATACATCTTTATGGCAAAGCTTTGCGAGAAATCAGGGGCTACAGGGTGAATCTGGGCATACAAGAGTTGTTTCTTCAAAACAGAAAAAAAATCGCAGAACCCAAACGATGAATTGCGCTAAAAACAGACTCATACATATTGTAGAGACCTTATAGGAGTACATCTTTATGGCACAGCTTTGCGAAAAATCAGGGGACCTAAATGGTGATTCTGCGCGTACAGTGATTGACCCCTTAAAACAGAAAAAAATCGGAGATTCCAAACAAAGTATAATTGTGCCACCAACAGACTCATACACATTGTAGAAATCTCATAGGAGTACATCTTTATGACATATCCTTGTGAAAAATCAGGGGACTACGCCGTGAATCTGGGCATACAAGAGTTGATACCTCAAAACAGAAAAAAATCGCAGAACCCAAACGACGAATTGCGCTAAAAACAGACTCATACATGTTGTAGAGACCTTATAGGAGTACATCTTTATGGCATAGCTTTGCGAAAAAACATGGGACTAAAGGGAGATTCTGCGCGTACAGTGATTGGCCCCTTAAAACAGAAAAAAATCGCAGATCCCAAACGAAGAATAATTGTGCCACCAACAGACTCATACATGTTGTAGAAATCTCATAGGAGTACATCTTTATGACATAGCCTTGTGAAAAATCAGGGGACTACACCGTGAATCTGGGCATACAAGAGTTGATTCCTCAAAACAGAAAAAAAATCGCAGAACTCAAACGATGAATTGCGCTAAAAACAGACTCATACATGTTCTAGAGACCTTATAGGAGTATATCTTTATGGCATAGCTTTGTGAAAAAACAGGGGACTACAGGGTGATTCCGCTCATACAAGGCTTCACTACTTAAAACAGAAAAAGAGCAGAACCCAAACGAAGTACTGTGCCACCAACAAAGTCATATATGTTGTAGAGTCATCATAGAAATACATCTTTATGGCAAAGCTTTGCGAGAAATCAGGCGCTACCGGGTGAATCTAGGCATACAAGGATTGATTCCTCTAAACAGAAAAAAGTCGTAGATCCCAAACGAAGAATAATTGTGCCACCAACAGACTCATGCATGTTGTAGAGACCGCTTAGGAGTACATCTTTATGGCATAGCTGTGCTAAAAATCAGGGACTATAAGGTGAATCTGGACACGTCATTGTACAGGTTCTAAAAAAGAAATGAATATTTTTCCAGGAAACTATGTTGAGTGCATGCGCAATATAAAAACATCCTTTTCTTCATGGACGCAAGGATCGATTCACTGCTGATTTTGCGACGACCATGATTTTTTCCTTCTACCGATTTTGTCTTTGATTCTACTGTATTTCAACGACACTGTCTATCGATTTCGTCCTTTTCGCTTCGGCAACACTGTTTCCGTGTTGTGTTCTGTGTTGTTGCTTCTAACCTCTTTTGAGTGTGCTTTTAAGAATTGATTTTGTTTATTTGGCATAAGCCATAATTCTGTACTGTGCTCCTATTTAAGAAACCATTTCTCGAGTAGAAAATATTTACAACTAAAGTGTCACACAACGCGCAGTGAAAATGTATCGGACGGACAAGCAGTTCATGAAAGACCCGGCGACGGTGGCTTCCAGGATTTACATCGGCGGCATCGCCAAGACAGTCATACCGGGAGATTTGGAGCTAGTTTTCGGCAAGTATGGCAAAATAGTCGGTATGTCCATTAACCCAACCGGCTTCGCATTTATCCAATATGAACATGAGGAAGAAGCTCAAGCTGCTATAGAGTGTGAGGACGAAGCCACTCTTCACGGCAAACCCATCAGCGTGAGGAAGGCGTATAATCCCGGCTCGGGCCCAGCTGCAAAGAATAAACCACAGCAGACTAACACTCCAAATAAGCAGAAGCCGCCACCTGCACCCTCAGCTATGCCTCAAACAAACCCACCTGGTCATGATAGGAGTCAAAATGATGATAATATGGAGGAGGAAAGACCAAATATTCGTCCCCCAGCACCTGGACCTCAGCAGCACAGACAAGGAGGTATAAATACATTGAAATATGCGAGCCCCTTCCCACTTCAGTTGGCCTACTTCAAGATTTGCCTTTATAAACTAAACATGACGAAACTATTTACTTCTAAAACAATTTATTTTCTCAAAAACATTTTAGATACACCTTAGTCGTAAAAAATACATATTTAAAATCACTTAGACCTATAACTAACAGAACATCTGAACAAATAAACAATGTGCGAATAAATGCGCGAAGTTAACAAAGCAACAATTGAAAGATTACCATTGGGTAACATCACCTTTATTTTTTATTATGGCTGAAATTCTTTGGGGCATAGTGTTAACCAAGTTTTGGCAAAAATTTGGTGTAAAACAATCCCAAATTTCTTGTAGCTTTTGTCTCGGTTCAGTGATAGTACGAGCAGGATGTTGTCGTAGAACCTTTTTCATCTCGTGCCACAAAGTTTCAATAGGTGACTGGACTGCTAGAAACCCATTTCAAAAGTGGTACATTATTTTCTTCCATCCATTTTATAGCCTTTTTTGAGGTATGGCACGCTGCACCATCTTGGTGAAACACAAAATCTTGGCCGGAACATTCTTCCATCACTGGTAAAAGCGATTCTTCTAAAATTGCCAAATCTTTGTTTGTATCCACATTTCCATCAATAAAATGAAGTTTTCCTACTCCTTTTGATGACATACTACCCCAGACCATAATGGATGCTGGAAATTTCACTTTTCTCTTCAGACAGTCAACATGGAATGCTTAATTTTTTTTGCGAATAACTCTACTGCGACTGTCACTAACACAAAATAATTGGCACGCCTGTTTTTCACGATTATTCTTCTTAATGCTCTTCGGTCGGCATTTGTGATATTACTTTTTTTCACATATCGTGGCTTAATATTAACTGAACCAGTTACGTTATATCTTCTAACAATATTTCTCACACTGTACCGCGATAAGTCTAACAAAGTTGCAATTTCTGAGTTTGATTTCCCAGAATTAAAAAATTTAATTATCAGTAACCGAATTTTCTCACCAATAACCTTTCCTCTACCCATTTTAAAAACCTTAACTACCCAAAACTATTTTAAACGTATTCTGACAGCTGTGATTAATAAAAGCAATTGTCATGGCTTTTATTTTTCCCAGCCACCTATGCATTATAGACTTATTTTGCATTGAAATGAAAATAGGTTGATATGCTGTAATTGCAACATGTGTTATTTTTATGCTGCAAATTTGATTAGGGAGTGATAAAGTTGGTGTTTTCTAATATATATTATCAAAATATTCATTGTTAATATTTTAAACCTATAACACCCTGATAGATTTTTATTATTTGTGTTTGATAAGAAAAAAAACTAAGATTTCAATATTTGGGCCAACTGAAGTGGGAAGAGGCTTGTATATTGTATTGCTTAGCTTGAAGCTATTAAAGATTAAAACAGGAGACCTCGCAGACCAATGTACAGGTCAGTTTCTGCTAATCCATCATTGTCTAAAATAAACATCATCTAACACATTTTCTATGCAATTCGCTAGAAAAGCTAAGTATGAGTATGCACTTAAATGTTGTGGAAATACATGCATAAACAGTTGGCACCAGACATTTCTACAAAATCTGTGTTTAAACGAGTGGATTCTTACAGAACAGGGATTTTCTAATGACCAAATATGTTCATTATGAGAATTAAAGGTTCCACTCCTCGTTCTGCCGAAGTTTTAAAAATGAACATGTGAAAACCTTTGGGGTAGGTTGGTATCTGTTAGGAAATCTACGTTGATACTCCCAAGAAGCCGCTAAAGCATTTCCATTACAGAACCGGTACACAAAAATAATATTGGGGTACTCATCAGTGCTAAATTCCATTTCACAACACTCAAAATTGGAAAATAGAAACGTATGACTTGACTTTTAAAAAAATGGTAGTAGTAACGATAACAACCATATAACACAAAACTTTGACAAACTCCCAAGAAACAACAAGTTGGTATCAAGGCCTCCTATTTTATTTTTAAACTAATAGTATCTTGGCTCGTCATGTATCATCTAATTTGTTTTATTTTTACGAAAACATTGCACTCTAGGAAAAAACACAAGAGTTATTATTTGTAGCAAATTGAAGCTAAAATTGGGAAAATTGCGCGTTTCGAAAAAATCAGTGGCGTTAATTTTGGATAAAGACTTTTAAATGTGTACTTATGGAAATCCACATACCAAATTGTCGGTCCTTCCAGTTGACGGTTTTGAGAATATTAAAAAAAAAGGTTTTTTATTTTTAAACTTCAATAATCAGGATGCAGAGACACAAAATATTTGAATAATTTAGCAAAATTAACTGAAACACTCTTCCTCTAAATGCAGATATTTGAGAAAAACAGTCATCACCCCATTATACAGCCTGTATCTTGGGACCAATTGAGGTTGGAAGCCTGTGCCCTTTGAAACATTTGTTCAGGAGTGCCAAGACACATAACATATAAAAAATTCAGTGAAATTAACAGAAACCACTTTTCCCATAGCCATGTTGCTGGGTCCTTTTAAATTGTCATTATCATGTGTAGGACTTACATTTTTTAAATTGTAATTTTTAACATGTCTCAGGTATCAATCATTTTTTTCTTCTTTGACTTACCACAAATTACAAAATGGGATCAATAAATATCTATCAATCTACTTTAATGCACTGAATATTCCTGACATTCTCCTGTAACACCTTGTATATTTATTTATTTCTGTATCAACGAGCGACTGCCCAATTAAAGTAAGCATAGAAAATCTAATGTAAACCTAATCCTACTTTGACTTAGATATTTAACACTTAAAACAAGCGCAAACACTTTACAATCCTGATCATTTCTAAATTGAAACGAATTTAATTAAAATTTAAGTATATGGGAAAATCAAATATTAAATATTACAGACAGGAATCTAATTGAATTTTGAATGTTTTCTGACTTCTGAAAAAATCCAGCTTATTAGAATACTGATTTGCTAACCTTGAAGATCTAGACAGGAAGGAATTACTAGCATAATTAGTACGAAATGATCTCGCATGGAATGGTTGATTCAGTCTTGTTTGACGAGAAGGCACATGGAAATTAAAATTTTTCAAAAGTTCTGGAGCAAAACTAAGAGAGTGCATAATATTATAAAATAGTGATAGGTCCCTCTGGTTCCGTCATACTTGAATGGTTGAGATATTCAGAGAGCTTTTAATGACAGAATAAATAATATCTTCAACCATGTTTTGTTTGAATGAAATGAATCTTAGGATTTTATTTTGCACTCTCTCAATTGCATGAATATGAACATTATCATTGGGTGACCAAACTCAAGAACAATACTCCAAATGGGGCCTCACCAAAGATAAAAACAACGTTTTAAATGACTGAATATTATAAGAATCCTTAGCATATCCTTTTTTAAATCCCAACAGTTGAAGAGATTTAGAAACAATCATATTTATATGAGTAATAAAGGATAATTGTGGGTCATGAATTACCCCTAAATCCCCAACTTGGGATACACTCCTTAGAGGACAACCTTTCATAGTATAAGTATGATTTATGGGATCCCTGTTAGGGCTGAAAAGCATTAAATGAGATTTTTCCACATTAAGTTCCATTCTATTCATTTGACACCAGAGACTTAATGAATTCAAATCATTTGGATATTTGAATAATCATTATTATACAGGGTGTCCGCAAAGTTGGGGTTTTCCTTTACACGACGTGTAGATCTTGAAAACATAAGAAATTTTTCTTAGTACCATATACACCAATGTCTTAAGGGAATCGAGATAAAGGGCTCTGCAACATCAAAAATATCTGAATACCGTCCTGTAGCCGCGACATCCCCGAGTGGTACTAGGACACTAGCTCAACCCGACGACAAAACTGGGTCGAGGTCAGTGTGTCAGGTCAGTATGCAACCTTCAACCGACAGTTACGATCACGCGTGTAGAGGTAATCGCGTAGACGAGAATCCCTCAACAAGCACTAGGGACGTGGCTAGAGAAGTGCAAGTATCAAAAACTAAAGTGTGGCAAACGCTGCGTGAAGAGGGGCTGTATCCAGCAAGAGTGCGGTTTTGTCAGTGGTTGTTGCATCAACATGACAATAATCCGGACTTTTTGAAGTGCATATTGGTGACAGACGAATCTACTTTCGCGCGTAATGGGGTGAATAACTTTCGCAACACTCATGTTTGGTCAGTAGAAAATCCGCACGCTGTCCGTCGGGCACATTTTCAACAAAAATTTTCGGTGAATGTTTGGGCTGGCATGGTGAACGGTATGCTCATTGGACCATTTATTCTCCCAAATCGATTGGACGGGATGCAATAGCTAGACTTTTTACGCAACATTTTGCCTTCCTTGTTAGAAGATGTGCCATTAAGTGTAAGACAATCAATGTGGTTTCTGCAAGATTGTGCACCGCCCCATTTTAGACGCGAAGTGCGTGAGTTTTTGAATGAATTATTTCCGAATATGTGGATCGGACGTAATGGACCCGTAGCGTGGCCTCCGCGATCTCCAGACTTAACACCATGTGATTTTTTTCTTTGGGGAGAAATGAAACGCTTAGTGTACAAAACTGAAGTGCATACGGTTGACGAACTTCGTCTCAGAATTGAACAAGCTGGTGCTTTCATTCGGGGAGGGACTCCATTCTCAAAGCCTGCACCGATGCTTGGCTACGTCGTGCACGCACCTGTGTTTTTGAATCAAACGGCGATAACTTCGAACAATATTTATAAAGTACGTTTACCTAAAAACTGAAAACGCGGAAACGCCGTCATATTTGTTACCTCTGTTCGTGGTCTGCACCACCGCCTGCGTCTGCTCGGTAGCGCATCAGCTGATTTCATTTTTCGTTGGAGCGGTATGATTTCGGGTAGAGACGTACTTAGCCCTTCTCGTCAACTGGAGAGTGAGTACTTTTTCCTTTATTTTTTTTTACTTGGTCGCCCTCGTTTCACTACACATTACCTTTGTTATTTCAAGGGTAGTTGTTTCTGAAAAGGACAACCCCAACTTTGCGGACACCCTGTATATATTATCTGTATCTTGTTGCAGGCCGAAGAGGCGGCCGTGGAGCTGGGCCTGGAGGTCCTCCTGGTGGTCGCGGAGGTCCGGGTGGGCGCAGTAGATCAAATGAAAGAGGGAGTGGCATGAGATTTGAACCCCCTCATCTAGACAACTACAACAGGGGACCATACCATGATAGAAATGAACCACCACACAGGGGCCCTCCTCCTGTGTTCGAAGCACCACCACCAGTTGCTCCCGAGAAAAATGATTGTGAAATCATCGTTGTCTCAAAGGCTTTGACGTAAGTTTGTTTTGTTTAAGATTTATTTAGCATGATTGCTGCAATTACATTCTTTTAAAAAACTACAACAACTATGTAAGGTACAGATAATCAGAAAGATAAAACTTGCATCTCTAAGAATTTTCATTTTGATTGATGATTCCGATTCCGATTATAAATTGCTCTAAAAAACAATTCACAGGAGTATTACGTAACTTGGAAAGTGAAATTACTTCGTTTTTTTGACATTATGTAGGTTTTTTAGATGTTCCCAACTTTGAACTAGCTGTCTTTCATGCTCACTTGTAACAAGCGAGTAATGAACTATTTGAAGACTAGCCGACTTAGTCAACAGTTTCGCATTTTTTTATGACGTAATAACCAAGCATCGTCTCCATAACCACCCTAACACCGCGCGATTAACGTTTGTAATAACATAATTACACCCCATGTTGTTCTCGTTGAAACTGGGATGCTTTAAACGTTTGTACAATATTTCACGTTAGCTACGTTCGGCACACAAATTTGGAAAGTACAATAATGATTCGTTTTCTTAATTTCCAGGGAATATGCCGAATTCATTGAATCAAAGTTGAAACACTTAGGACTAATGGTTGATCTACTTTTTCCTAACGAAGATGTACCTATTGGCAAAGTTTTGGCGAACATTTCCAGCAGAGGATGCTTATATGCTATTTTGGTGATGCCTATAAACGAGGAGCATAGAAGTTTAACTCTGAATATTCTACATGGGACACCTCAAGGTATAATATTTTAAGCTAGATTTCTTTTGCATACCATTCACTCCATTAACTTGACAGCAATAATTTTTGTGTATATAAAATAGCATGTAATTTTTGAATGTAAAAGAGAGTAAAAAATTCATTTGTTTTTGCAGAACACCGAAATATGCCGGTAGAAGACGCCATGATCTTAATTTCCCGCGACTTTGAAGCCTATATGAAAGGAGAACACTTAGCACCAGAAACAGCCAAGTCTATATTAGACAGGCATCCAGTACCCATGCAGGTAGTTTTTTTGCACACCGTCATATTATCAAATAATTTTGTTTATTTGCACTTGCAATGAGAATGAACTACATATGATTTTCTAACAGAAGTACTCTCTCGTGTTCAACATATTTTAACAGTTCCAAAATTGATAATACTCCTTTCGTCCGCGTCATGCAAACCAAAGCATAAATCATAGGTACGAGGTCGTTTTTCTGTTTTACGCAGGGTGCCCAGTGGAAAAGGTCACTTTTTAATTTAAGAAAAAATACAAACTTAATAATAATACAATATTTATTACTCTCAAAAGATTCGTAAATTCGGCGGTTTTTATATCTTAAATATCATTTCGTCCAAATGTTTGACATCCCTCCGGACACAGTCTTCTAATTGCGCGCGCAAATTCTGGAACACTCTTTTGCAGAGCTTCTTAGTGATACTGTTTATTTCTCGTCGAATGTTGTCCTCAAGCTTCTCCAGTGTTCGGGTATTATTGGAATACACTTTAGACAAGATAATCCCACAAAAAATAATCGCATGGCGTGAGGTCGGGTGACCTAGGAAGCCAGTGAATGTCTCCAAACTTCGATATAACTTTTTGAGAAAAAAGTGCTTTCACTGTGTCCGTCGATTCTCTGGAAGTATGGGCAGTGGCCGCATCCTGTTGAAACCATGCCCAACTAACAATTATCACTCCTATTAGAGTTGCGAGAATAATAATTATATATACAGTATTCCTTACATAGCATTGTATACTGTAAGAACATTGGCAAAACCCTCTTAGAACAGCAATACAAGCGGAATGGGCACACCTAATAGCACACTTCAGTCATTTAAGAGGTTGTATAAGGGCTGCAGGTAACAGTTATACAATAAAAGTGTAAGACTCTTGCAGCCGCTGTAGGACATTTGCGTCAGTGCAAGATTCAGTTTTTGTCAACTATACAACTATTCTGTTACCTGATTATACTTTATTGCGACAAAACTATTTCTTATGTATTGTATAGACGAAGTGAACAATATATAACTAATACATTACAGTCATCTTGTTTACTTACATTGTGAATTTCATACACAGGTATATGATAAACTTCTACACTGTGATATAGGGCTATTGAATTACTTGCGCAGCAAATTTTATTGTGATTATCGTGCAAAGTAGTTACGCAATTTCTACGGGCTTCGTATTTGATTCATATTTTGATAATGATCAAAAGTATGTCTAGATTTTTAAGATGGAAAACTGAACTTATCTGCGTTAAATCTTCCACAAATCCTATATTTAGACACAATTACACTAATGTTTATCACTTTATATCTGTAATTTCGAACTGAAACATAATAATTATTTAATATTAAATAGAGGAATACATGTTTGCCCAATATGGCGGGTGGTTGTGTATAATCATGGGATCGTCCATGTTGTCTTTAGTTTATTAGAATATTTTGGTCTTGCCTGCAGGTGTTATACAACAATTTGACAAATGTCTGAAATGAAATACCGACCGAGTCGAATGATTTACCCAGAATTTGTACCAGATCTATATCTTCTGTTTGAACAGTTGATAAAACCTTTTGAACCAATATACCAGAAAGTTAGGTTATGGTGAAGTTGTATACCAACATATTTAGCATATGTACAGCCTTTAACAGTTACTAAACAACAGTTATATAAGTGCTTCCGTTGGGAGCAATTTGTTGGCTAAAGTAGTAAATTGCACAGCAAAACAAGGCTCCGGTTTGTTTTAAAAACGTTACATGGATGCCACAACACAACCATTTTGACTAACGTGCAAATATGCCGTGTAAAATAGTTGTATAAGCGTTTATGCAACAGTTAAAAATTTGTCCTATAAGGTGTTGTATAACTATGCTATAAGAATATTTTAAACACCTCATTTTAGAGCAAATATGTTGCAGAAAGCAAATTTGCGTTCCACACAACATTAAGCCAGCATTTTGGTGTTCAGGCAACATCACTAGAGAGCAATTTTTTTTTTTTCATACTCCAACTACCACGAAGGCCTAAGGCCTAAGCACCCATTGGGTACCGTGGGGCTATGGGGGATACATGGGAAAGGGGGGACGCCACACGGACTCTGGCGAGGGAACACGTGTGCATGCAACATGCACACATTCTGGCTCCGCCTACGAGAACCGCCGGGTGGTACCTCCGCGTTCGACAGTCAGAGACCATCTATCACCTACGGACAATCACAACATCCATGGCCAAGACAAACGTTTCTCCTGGGACGGGACTCGAACCCGCACAGCGCACGGCGGCTGATCAGGAGACCGAAGAGTCTACTACTGCGGCCACCGCTGCTGCCTAAAACAAACACACAACATCCATGGCGAAGGCGAGATTCGAACTCGCGGCCCGGCCGGCCGGCTGATCAGTAGCACGACACTCTCACCCACGCGGCCAACCGAGGTCCCGTTTATGACTGAACGGTTCTTTTACCAAAAGCTTATAACACTACTTTGCTAGTTGGGATGCGTTTCTGTTAAATCGACGTTCTGTTCTTACAATGGGAGCAAAAAAATGTCAATCATGTCCGTGCATCGCTCGGAAAACTGTCTATGCATGACCGTTTTCATCTTCAAAGAAATACGGCCCAATAATATCGGTATAGGTCACCATTGGACTATGTAGCTCTTAAACCACTTTTTCGATAGGTTCTTACTTGGGGCATGTCTTGGTCGGCGGATATTGAATTGTGTAGAAAATTTCCGAAAGGCAGCTGCGTATGCATCACCACTCTTTAAGTAAGCCTCGATAGAGAAAACACGTTGCGTTCCGGTCCAACGTTCCATTGTGACTATTTAACCCGCATGCCGAACGCATCGATCAGGGCCTCTCCTCACTCCCTCGCGTATACGGTAAATTTGAAATGTGAACTTTCAAACTGGACACATTGTATAACATGTCCATCATGACAAACCAAGCCACTCATTTCCGTCGGTCGGTATGTCTGTCCGCTAATCGCTAAACCTTGACCCCTCTATAACTTGGAAAATACCGGACGCATTTTATGTAGTAGTAGAATGAATGATTTATTTAGCACATTTGGCTACATAAACAGAACAATTGTAAACAACTTAGAACTAGTAAATTCAAGCCATATGGTGTATGATGTAAATGCTGGGCAACCTATAATTTTAGATTTAACAAGTGATTTCTCACTTTAAATTTTGTCAAAGTTTTCTGGTCTTTTATCTCCGAGTATAATTTATTATATTCAATCAACCTTTGATGGAATACAGATTTGTAGCATATGTTATACTTTTTGGTCATTAAATGGAAGTCATCTTTATTTCTGGTATTATGTAAATGATGGTCGACATTTGATGATGTTAAATTAGTTAGACTTGGTGGAAATATATTATTTTTTACTTTATAAATGAATATCATTACAAGATATTTGATAAAATTTTTTACATTGAGCCATTTTAATTTGCTAAGCATTTGCCTAATTGGAGTATATTTATCTTTATTTAGTATTATTCTCATGCACTTATTTTGTAAAATTTGCAGTCTTTCAAAAATGGAATTATTTGCTAAATATAGAATAGTCGAACAGTACAAGAAATTTGGACAAATGATGGTATTATAGATAATTTTTCTGCTATATGAATTCAGACATCCAGATACTCTCGATAAATATCCCACTTTACTACTAATCTTATTTATAACTTTTTCATAATGAATATCAAAAATTAATCGAGAGTCAACAAAAACCCCCAGGTATTTAAAATTTTCTACGAATTCAATATTTTCACCATCAATATTCAGTTGAACATTTGTACATTGTTTTTTTCCGATTAACAAGGCTTTCGTTTTAGTTGCATTTAATTTTAGTCTGTTAGATGCTAACCATTTTGAGACAAGCTTCAAGTTTTCATTTATATAAGAGATACCAGACTGAATATTTTTAGTACTTATATAAATCATAGTGTCATCGGCGAAAATCTGAATTTTGCATTTATTTGAATATGGCAGGTAAATCATTTATGTATAAAATAAAAAGAAGTGGTCCGATTTTGATGAAATTTCTACACAAGGTCGCTAGTATGCTAAGGACGAAAAAGGGTTATAGCTTTTGAAAACCGACCCAGTGGCGGCGAAGCTAGGGGAAAAAAAGTAAAAAAATGAAAAATGTTCAAACTTCGTTTTTTGACGTTTCAGTGGATCCCTTTTGAAACAAAAATTAAGGGGTGACGAATTGGGGGGTGGAAGAAGGTACATCTCAATTTTTTGACAGTAGTATACTTACACGTCTCCAGCCGTGATAATTCTACGCATCTTTTAGACATAGAAGGAGAAAAATTCTGGAAAACATTTTCATGTTTCTGTGAGTTCCGATATATTAACCTAATAAAAAAATAACTCTTTAAAGTCGAGGATAATGTGAACTTTTTTGTTTGACAATTTTTGCTGTATCTCTAAAAATAAAGTGGTGGGGCGTATTTAAATGTTTCGGTAAAAACACCCTGTATCTTCGAAACGGCTGAGCCGATTTTAACAAACTTGGGCTAGTTGAAAAGAGCTATTCTTTGGCTACAAATGTTATAATATTTGAAGTTTTGTTAGTTTCACATGTGCGAATGCATTTAATTTTTTTAAGAAAATTAACCCTTTCTGTCGGAATGTCGAAAAAGCCCTCTAGCGGCCACATGTGATAGTAACAAAATTTCAAATATTTAATTAATTAGAGGGTGTTTCTTACGGAAACCTTTAAATACCCCCACAACTGTATTTTTTGAGATACGGCAAAAATCGTCAAACAAAAAAGGTTCACCTTATCCTCGACTTTAAACATCAGTTTTTTTTAGGTTAATACAGGGTGTAAACGTTATGATAGTCATTATTTAAGTTTCATATAACATGGGGGTCAAAACGAAATGCGACTTTAAAGTAAAATAAATAAAGATGGTGTTTGTTATTTTTAGCTCTTAGGTATTATTTCATTATTTGATAATGTACTCGTAAAATGCAAACAATTAAAAAAAAATCGGACTCACCACTAACTGTCTCAGCACTTCACCTGGTGTGTGAAAGTTTATTGAACGTATTAAAAAATCTACTTATAAATAGGGAACACAATTTTGATACATACATTGTTTTTCTTTTTAAAACCCACACTGCACTTTTTTGTATTTAAAGAAGGTGTTCAAAATGTCGTAAACTTTCCATGCGAGCTTCATTACGACGAACCCAGTTTCTTCTTACTCTAGATCCTCGAAGTGGTCCATTTATTATTTCAGCCGCATTAAATTTTTTTCGCGAAGTTGTGCTTCAGTTGTTATTGGACCAGCCCCATAAACAATCCCTTTAAGTTCTCCCCAATACAGAAATCCATCGGATTGAGGTCAGGAGATCTTGCTGGCCATTTTCGAGGATCAGGAGCATTTCGACCGATCCAGCGATTTGGATAATATTCATTCAAATACTGAATGACGCCTCTAAAAATGTGTGGTGGTGCCCCGTCATGAAGAAACCACAAATTCTGTCTCCGTTGTAATGGATGTTGTCTAAGGTCCTTTCCAAAAGTTCTGGTAGGTTATTGGTTAGAAAGCTAAGGTATCCGTCTCTTGACAACTTTGGGGGTAACTAGAAAGAGCCAATTACCTGATCGTCAAGTATACCCGCCCAAATATTTATTTTAAAACGTTGTTGGAAATGACATTCACGAATGGTATGAGGATTTTCTTGGGCCCACGTGTGAGTATTATGGAAATTCAATATCCCGTCTTGCGTAAAAGTACATTCGTCCGTCGCTAGAATGCTTTAAAAAAATCCGGATTTTCAATGTTTTTGTGCAAAAACCACTGACAGAATGTTAGTCTGCGAGGATAGTCTTCTGGTAACAAGACCTGCACTCGTTGTACATGGTAGGGATAAGCAAATTTTCCCGTAGGATTCTATGGACTATGGTATGCGATAGTCCTACGCGGCGGCCCAATTCCCGAGTGCTGATATCTGCATTGATTTCCACGATATTTAAAATTTGTTCCTCCTTCTCTACAGTAACCTGTCTTTCACGAGTGCGAATATTATTGGGCTGAACACTTCCTGTATCTCGAAGTCTTTGGTACATTTGCACAAATGTCCTTTTGTTTGGGTGTACCCGTTGGCAAAATCTGTCACGATAAATTTGAGCTGCAAGATTTGAATTCTGACGAGCTTCACCGTAAACTAACAACATGTCGGCGAACTCTTGATTCGAAAACATTGTAAATAAACACGACGACGTACGTGAACAATAATTAACCACTGTTACCGTTTGCGATCGATTGCCGGTTCGATAAGAGTGATGAATGACCGACGCGCTGTTGTGTGTTTTAAATATTTAATTTAATGGAACTTACTTACTGACTACAAATTTTGGCTTAACTTAGAAAAACTTAATCCCATTTATTTGTAATTAGCCAATTTAAAAACGTTTTAGATTAGATTATAAAAATTAGTAAGATTGTGGTGATATAAAGCACTTGTAAACTATAAAGCCATTTAGACAAAAATCTATTGACTTGTGGGCCATGGGTCATATGAACTTTTTGACTTGTTCTGACCCCCCTATTACCCATTTCAATAATGACTACCATAACGTTTTCCCCCTGTATAACGGAATTCACAGAAACATCGCTTTTTTAGATTGAAGATTACAGTTACGCCCCCTAGCGGCCATTTCAGATACTTGAAAATATTTTCCACGTTTTTGACTTGGCCATTTTAGTAAGAACTTTTTTGTTGTTTTTGCCTCTACGACGGATAGGTTCCCAGATACAGAACCTCTCATTCTTAGTTGGCCACCTTGTACACGTAGTTTCGATCATATGCGCCCGCAAAGCGCAAATGCCTCCTAACTTTTTGAAGAGCGAGGGCGAGCATATTTTCTCAGGGAGCCAAATCCTAAAGACCTCCAAAATTGTAAAAAAAAAATGGTGAAAATGCAAATTTTAGTTGTTATACATGTTCGTAGCTAACTTTTTTTCTCAGAGATGCTGTTGAGAGGTTAGGTCGCCTTGTGGGGTGAAATGAAGAACGGACTTTGTTGCTAGCTGCGTTGAATTCTTGGAGTTTTATTGTTATACACAATTGCAGTCTGTATTAGACGTTTTACAATAACACTCTTTCACGTTAATATTCAAATTTTACAATTATTTAGACAGTTTTTGTCGTACTGAGAATAAAAACGTGTGGACTGTATCTTGTTATCTCAACTCTCTCTCGACGTTGCCACGTTGAGCCGATTGTTCGGGATTCGCGGAAACAGATGCCAACTGCCGAACATGATCCTATATGAACAGCGTTGCGTAGGAAGTATAGAGTCAACCTACTTGATGCCATTTTCTTGAAAGTTATAGCTTAGTGTTTGTAACTATTTGTCATTCAAATATTTTCCGATTCGGTTGTTACTTGGACTATAGCAGAAAATAACTTTCCAAGACAGTTTCTACGACTGTTTGATTATTATGTATGCCCTTTTTAGATGCTGTTGAATCTTCTAGCCGAGAACCGTCAGCTGACTAGCTTACAGTATGATCGTCTTATAGCGTACCTGCAGGAGAGGCGAGATTTGCAACACGAGTTTGAGGTGGCTGAAGGGCTTGTTCCAGATAGCCAAGATGGAGATTCTAAACAGGCTGAACTACAGAATCGTATCATGAACATTTTGAATACCAAAGCAGCTGCACAGGTGAGTCTGGTTTTGCTTTATCATATTCAGAATACCAATCTATCCATAAACGCACACTTTTTGTTTCGAGACTTTATGAGTACAATCTATTTGTGTTTTTGTAATAAAGATATATAATTTTTGCATGCATTTTGATTGGTCAATGAGAAATGTTTGTTTTTTCGGATTTTCTACCGCTTGCGTGTGTCTTCAATTTTTGATTACTCTTTTCGGGGGCAGCTGTAGAAAAATGTATTCTATAAAATAATAAAAATATAGGGTGCCCCAATATTCGCTGGACATAGAGGTACCACGTATTTTTAGACTAGATTAAGTCGAATGGACATGATTTACGGGCGTCTAAGTAAACAAGTAAACAACTAAGTAACAATCAAAAATAAACTTAAACATTACTTATTAATTTAAACTATATGAAGCTTGTCAAAAATAATCTGACACTGACATAACATCCCACATTTCCATCAAATAGATGCCTACTAGATTTTAACACTTGATGCAATAAGAAATTTTTTTAGAAATCAGCTCCGAAAAACATTTTTTTTCTCGAAAATTATGCTAAATAGCCTTTTTTATAACAGACAAAAAATGAAGTGCGTAAAAGGATTTAGTTTGTTTGTTGAGGATTTTAGTTGTCAATTTTGTATTTGTTTACATATTTTTTTTTAATCAATTCTCTATAATTTTACATTCTTGTCTATTAAAATTACATCGCTATGCATTTTGAGTATTCATAAAGAGATTTTTTAATTTCACCTTGAACATTTTTAAAATCGAACACTGTTTAATATCATTATTCAATTCATTTGAAATATAGATTTACTAGTTATGCTACTATTACAATTTTGCAGATGAAAATATATACTGCCTCTAGTCTTGTAGTTATGATAATGGCTATTATGTGAACTTTTCTAAATGTGGTGGTAATAAATGATTTTTTAATTTGGATATGGAAATGAGAACTAAATAACATGAAATTTTTTACATTCAACTACTATAGTTTTTGTAGTGTAGTGTTGTAAATGTTCTGGTAAGAGATGATTTTTTATTTTAAATATAAAAATAAGAACCAAATATATGAAATTTTTTATATTCAACCACTGCAATTCTTGTAACACAGATTTTATTTGGGTGTACTTATTTTTATTCAATATTATTCTCATAGCTTTATTTTGCAAGACTTATATAGTAAATGCGGTAGAATAATTGTATTATAAACTATTTTCTTGGACTAGGTACCAAAATGATGGGAAGCCCTATAAAAGTAATTTGTTTTTTTGGCAATTTTTGAAATAATGTATTCATAGTGATCCTCCAACTTTAGTTTACTATCAATATATATATATATATATATATATATATATATAAAGCTTCCGCCTTTTGTTGGGTACTTCGAGAAAATTCAAGCAAAGAGGACTCTTTATACTTAATTAATATCTCGCTTTCAATGGACTTTGTCATCTTCATCAGGAGCTGCAATAACATTGAGAAGAAATAGCAACTATAGTGCAAAATGATTTTGAATTAACTTACAGTCGTATGTGAGATTGTTGCTAAATGTTATTAACGTTATTACTGCCCATGAAGTATATCTGTTTATTGTACCCAACGGGTTATTTGTCTTGTCCTTTTTCCTAAAGTTATAAATTACGATTTCCCCTCGTTTTTTTGGTTTCCAAACACTTTGAGAAGCATTACGAGAAATTACCACCGCGCCCGCGTTATGTGTAATTAAACCACATCACAAAAAAATTAGGTGTTACGCATCACGCACAAAACATTTTCGCGCTGATTTATATTTTCTACTTGACATCTCAAAATAAATTTCTATAAAACTTAAATGACTGGAAATAAAATATGTAAAATGTAAATATAAAAATACATAACTTATTCAACGAAAGTACGGAGTAATAAAACAAGTGACAGGGCAGCCCGATTTACACCGCACAACTACCTGCAAAATCGATGCCAGTGGCGTGTAGGTTTTAAAATTAATTGAGGTACCATTTAATTTATTTTCACTGTTTCTTTTATCTTTTCATTACTTTCAAGGTGTTATAAGGTTTGTTACATTGATATATTAAATATGCTGCCCCAGTTTATGATTCTTTAACTTTATATATTTTATATTACAAAAATAATTTTAATACATGGGAAAAAATAAATAAAAGTGCTCAAAAATTAAATTCTTTTTTGGATTCTGGATCTTTTTAATATAATACCTAATAATGAATCTACCTGCATTCATTACCACGTTTATTTCGACGGCTCTATACGGATAGACTTTAAAGTAGATTATCCCAATCATGTGTAATCCTGACCGTTTATTTCGGCAATCCACAAGTTAAACCAAAACTGATAACGTCAAAATCTTCGACAGAGGGCTCCTTCGAAATTAGCGGTCAGGATTAACACAGGATTGGGATAACCTTCTTTGAAGTCTATCCGGAAATAAACATGGTAATTATACAAGTATGTTTAGGGATATACGTCCTTCGTCATTATCCAGTAAATATACAAATTACATTTATCAACTAATCACTATCAGTATAATCTGAAGATTCTGAATCGTTTCCTAAGTTAATAATCACTGGTTCAAGCACTCTTTCCATACATTGGTCAGTTGTCCACATTTTTTTCTTCCTCTTTCTCAACATGTCCCAATTTTCCCATTTTGTACCGCGGTGTTAAAAAGCTGCTTTGAATCTGCGATCTTGAAAGTTGTGTTTGTACTGGACACTTCGTTTTCAATTTGCTCCCAAATTAACTCAATTGGGTTGAACTCGCAATGGCAAGGAGGTACGCGTAAAATAGTTCGATTGGTAGATTTAGCCATTTTGTTGATGACATACTTATCAGCACTTTTATTGCCATTGGCCAGATTTAAAAGTTCTGCTTTGACCATATCGATGTCAAAGGGAACATTATGCCTTCCTAGCCATTCCTGTATTTCCCCTTTTCTGTTTCCACTGTTTGGTGCTTTATCAATACGTCTACTGTGGTATGAATCATCGTCCATAACAATGACAGCGTTCTCTTCTAGACGGCTTATAATATTTTCAAACCATCCTTCAAATAAATTGACATTCATATCGGCGTCGTAGTCTCCTGCTTCTTTTGATTCAAATACCAATAATTCGTCTCAAACGAAGCCATTATCAGATCCGATGTGTTGTTGTTGTTGAAGATTTATTCAACATTAATGCTACAATGTCAATTTTGTATAATGATTCGGTTACATTTTTTTCTGTAATTTTGCATTTTTGTCTATTAAAAATACGTCACTAGGTATTTTGTTTATTCATAAAGTGATTTTTTAATTTCATCTTAAACATTTTTAAATTCGAACACTGTTTAATATCATTATTCAATTTATTAAATTCAACTACTCCCTTTTGAAATATAGATTTACTAGTTATGCTACTATTACAATTTTGCAGATGAAAATCTATACTGCCTCTTGTTTCGTACTTATGATAATGACTATTTAATTTTGTAAAGTTTTCTAAATGTGGTGGTAATGAATGATTTTTTAATTTGAATATGAAAACGAGAACTAAATAATATATGAAATTTTTCACATCCAACCACTGCAGTTCTTCTAACATAGACTTAATCCTAGCATATTTGTTTTTATTTAAAATGATTCTCATAGCTTTATTTTGTAGAATTTTTAATTTTGAAAATATGTTTTCATTTGCTGTAAACAAGATGTTCTATAAATATCTATAATAGTTTCTTTTTCAGAAACCGACAAAGCTCTTTTTGCCCGTTTTGTTGATAATTGGCCCTCGTCTAATAAAGCACTCATGTCGAAATATCCTTTTAAAAGTAGTCTCACAGACCTTCGGAAGTTCTATTGTGAACTTGGCGGTTTATCTACCGAAAACTGGCCAATAGGAACGAGGCGCGTGCCAGTCAGTTGATTTATTACTCCGTACGTTCGTTGGATAGATTATAGGCACCTATGCACTGCCGTTTCATTTCCAGCTAAAGTATACAACTTACAGCTTAGACCTCCAATAATGCCATCTCTGAAGCAGTTGTTATATCACATCACAGCCAAATCATGATAGCTCAAGCGTCATGTCGTTTTGGCAACACTTACAGCTACACAACGAATGCACATCAAGTAAACAGCTAGTTCCAAGTTGAGATCTTATAGGAAAACTTACATGTCACAAAAAATCTATGTAATGTCAGAAAACCACATAATGTCACTTTTCAAGATACGTAATACCCCTGCCGATAATACAAGCGATGACGCGGCGAAATATCCCGTTCTAAACTGGTTAAAAATTAATGACATGGTCAAGTATCACTATTCAGTTTTTGTTCACAAATTGCTGCTCACGTCTAAACCTTATTACTTGAAGGAAAAAATTTCATTTAATAATGATGTTCACTGTAGAACTCTCAGAGAAAATAATATTAGAATACCCCTGCATACGTCTACACTTTTTAAACGCAGTTTTTCTTACAATGTTGCTATTATTTATAATGACCTTCCTAAAGTATATAAAGAATTTTCATTACCTGTCTTTCGACAAAAAGTTAAAACATTATTACTCAACCCTCCAAACATATAATTTACGTAATCATTCATTTCTTTTTTATTCCATCTTTAATTCAGATTAATAATTTTTTGGTGCATTTGGGTTTGGAAAGTATGCCTTTTTCTCTTTTTTTTAAATTTTACTTTCGATGTAATGAACCAAATCTGTTTGTGGATAGTGTATTCTTTTGAACATCTGCTAGAGACTATATGGTTAAGTGCTAAACTTCGCCATGTAAGTCTGACATTTGGCTATACTACAATGTAATTGTGGATAAATAAAGACGTCTATTATTATTATTAATAAATGTAGCAAGTATGCTCCAGCAGTCTGTGCTAGAGTTTCTGCATTTATAATTTACAGAAATATTATTTTTTACAAAAGATTATTATTGACAAGAATGAATAAGCCTCTAGCTTCCCACTCGAGGGAGTAATGTTGAATACAAACCAAACAAAACTAAATTTCAGTGAGTTGCTGAACTGCATAGAGTCCGGCACAAAGGTTTTTAAAAAATCATAATATCGGTAATTTTTACTCAAAAGCAAATTTATTGACGGATTCGGGTTCACAATGAAATAGCGTTTGTCACAGTTAAGTGTGGAAAATCACATCGGTCATGTGATGACTGTTTTTGACGATGCGTTGCTAGACGCGTTCTTGAAACATCGTTCTCTCAACTTGGGCGACTTCCACGCGAATTGTCTCTTTCAACTACTCCAAAGTTCAGGGCTTGTGCTCGTATCTCGTATACACGAGCCTTGAGGTGTCCGCATAGGAAAAAAATGCAGATCGATAAATCTGGGGACCGAGAAGAGCAATGAACCACACCTGGAAATAAGGCGATCACGGAAGAGAGGGCGAATAACGTTTATCGTTGCCCTGGCTGTGGGGGCGATCGCCACACACGTCGGAATGGAGCACGTCGTCGTCGCAACTCAGGTGAAAAGAAGTTGGAGATCATTTCGACATAGCACTCTGAGTTGACGGTAACAGCATTGCCGTTACCGTCGTCGAAGAAATAAGGGCCGTTGATGCAAGTTTGCGATACAGCGCATCAAACCGTCACTTTTGGGGTGTGCAGCGGTGCTTCATGTAACTGTCGCGTATTTTCATTAGCCCAATAACGGCAATTCTGCTGGTTAATCATGCCCCCAAGATGAAAGTGAGCTTCATCACTCATGGACAAAATGAGGTTCTCATTTTGCTCGATAAGTGCTTCTATCTCACGTGCGAAGTTCATTCGTTGTGCGTAATCTTAAGGCTGTAACTGTTGCAGGGGTGAGGCGTTCCACATTTTCAGGGGTTCGAACAGTTCGTGGCGCTCCTGGTGGTCTTTTGTTCATCAGTACACCACGTGTGCCAAGTGATTGAACCCAACGAAGGATGGTGTTTCGAAAAGGAACATTATGTCGGACAAAACAGTCATACTGCTCCATACTATCTACTGGTAAAAATGCTAGGAATGCCCGAGTCGAACGGCATTCTCCCCACCACGCTCGCCCGAATAGGCGAAGAATACCAGCCATGTCAAAAACATCCGGCCTTTGTGCCGAACCCTGTACATGCTAAGTTTTCTTGGACACTACCTGGAAAAATTGACAACTAACTTATCAACACAGTGAGCACAGCGTTCAGCATGTTTACGCAGTTTTTTAGCGGAGTGTCGGATTAGTTGTGCTTTAAGTTATTTCATTTTATTATTTTTAGTTAAAAATTGTTTCCTAATTAATATTTTGATTCGTTCAGGAAATACCGACGTCTATAACAGCACCTGATCCACCGTCCGTTACCGACCCTGAAGCTACACCTATACTGAAGGATCCAACTGTACAAAAAGCTTTAGATAGCCTGATGTTGGGAGACATGTTCAAAAACATCGCTGGAGTTTAAGCGTATGACTGAGGATTTTATTCATACTACTTCTCAATGTGACGAGGTGAATTATTCATTAGACATGTAAAGATATCTGATAGTATGTATATCTTATTTCTTTTTAAGTCGTTCTGTGAGCTTTCCTTAGAGCTTCTAGACAAGGTGTCCACGGTTCACAAATCTAGATAGTCAGAGAAGCCAAAAATCTAAGACACTCAATGAGTTAGAGAAGATGATGAGTAAAGGCATTTCACAAAAAAAAAACGTACATCCACATCAAGTTTTTTCGCAGTACTGTCATATGTAATATTTGTTACAAAGTTCTAAGTTAGAGTGGTGGACACCCTGTTAGAGCTGTTTGAATCCAATGCGAGAACTATTTTTAAATTTATAATTATTTTGTATTAATTCAAATGCAGCGTGACACAAAGTCCCGCAACGGCTTTATATTTTCTCGGGTAAGGTATTTAAAATAATTATCTCTCGGAATGGCTGTGATTCATGTCGGCAAGGGATAAGCAATTAGAAATTTTCAAAAACTACTTGACCAATCGACTCCAATTTTGTTATGGTTATTTAGAAGCAAGAAGCCTTCGGATTTGAAAAATTTCAAGTCGCTGCGTGAAATTATTGTCTCATTAGCAACAAGTGCCAAAATCTGCATTTTGGCTCGGTTTTCGGGAACAACTTTTTTACTATTAGTGGGATTTTTTTACGAGTAGTCTCATTCTGTAAATACTTAAAAATCTTGTTTAAAGAGCTTTTTGGTTCCTGCCAACACTTTCGATTGAATCCCAAAAAACACATTTTCTCATTCTTTGTTGTCAAATAAAACGTTTTCCCACAAAAATTATAGGTCTCCCCATTTTATGCGTCTATCTTTTAAATACCCCCTTGAAAAACTTGCCTCAATAATTATTTCCCAAACCATGTTATTTTCATCTAATATGATTAGACTTAACATTTGAATTCCTTGCTGGAAGTTATTGAAGATCTGACCTTAATCTTTTTAAAAAATACGTTACACGAGAACATACAGAGCCGTTGCGGGAGTTTCGTGACTCGCTGTATAAGGAATATATTTCAGAACACTGATCCTACAGTAAGAAATAAAAAATCAAAGTTTCTATTGATCACTGCTTTTTATTTGGACCCTGAAGTTTCAACTTTGTGCGTTTTGGTATAGATTGTGTGCGCATTTACTAACCAAACATTTTTTATAAGATTCGTTTAAACACGGAGGATTTTTACTCTAGAAATTTTCTATATTTCACTGGAATTTTTTTTATACCGAAGTAGACGCGCAGGCAGAAGCCTAAATGCCGGAACACCGCTGCTATGTGTACCCCAAAGAAATTTTGTTAATCCGATTTTTTAACTGCCTGAGGTTAGTAGAACTGGGAAAAGCTTCGTCTTGTAGATTGTTCCCGATCTCGACATCCTCGGGACAAAGGAGCGGTCGTATCGGCCAGAGCGAACACTTCAACTGTACGACCTGCTGCATCGATCCTGTTTAAGCCCAACCAAAGCTCATTATGGGCATTGAAATCACAAGAACTACCTGTGAAGCGGGGTGATTGATGTCAAGGAAGTCGATCTTGACGGCGAGATAGTCAAGTAAGTCATCCCGGTTTTGGTCCAAGGGAGAGCGATAAAGGCAGCAAATTTGTAGGATGTTTTGGAGTTGAGGCGAAGCCACAGAATGGCTTTCCGATATGACTCCAAGGAAGTGTCTCTGGAGCACGAAAGACTGCTGTGGTCAAAAGCGACAACTCCCCCGTTCTTTCTCAGACTGGAGTGCACCTCGTAACTTGGGAAGATGGTTAATCGGTGCAGACTCTTGAGATTTTTGAATCCGCCAAGAAAAGCACGGCGGGACGATTAGATTGCAAGCACTGATGGAACAGCTGTAATGTTGCCGTTAATCCCGCAGATTTTCGCGAAACAAATTTTATCTTCGATGTTGGAGTAGGTTTACGAACGGATTTTTAGTATTCCAGGGATCCATCATCATTAATTTTTTTGTGGGGGGAATGTAGGGATATGCTAAATAAAAATCATTTGAAGCGTTCATTTGCATTTTATTTCAACGCATCTATTCTACATTATCCAAAAAGTTAAGTAGTGTATTAGGTGAGCAGCACTCCAATTAAACAAAAAAGTCCCTGTTAATGATTAAAAACTAATATCAACTCTCACGATTTCGGAAACGGCCGAAAAAAATAAAATAAAACTAAAACACGATCTACGTATGTATATCACAATTGTAATAAAATAAATTATCTTTTTATTTTCCCTTCATAAAATGTACCTAAGTATACATATCACACATTTACAGAGCGATCCAAAAATATAGGTAACATAAATGTACATTCACATCCATCGCAAAAAATGGATGTTAATATTTTAAATATTATTTCTCACTATAAATTAGAGATCTTTATTTTAGACAACGGAATTTCAGTTTGATGATCTGATATGTTTGATGATTTCAAATCAAAACAAAAAAACTGCATTTTGTTTTCTAGCATATCCTAGGAAATATCGACAGCACCTTGACCCTGTTTGGATTTCACCTCAAAACATAATATATCCTATCACCCATGTAATAGAAACTAATTATCCCGACCTATTTCTTTATATTAATGAATCGCCCTATACGCTATATAATTTTTATAGAATATGAGTAACATCTATTCTTTAACATCTTCAGTATTTATAATTTCGAACTCGCTGTCACTACTACTGTTTTTTCTTTCTATCTGAGCCTGAGGTGCGTTTGATTTGAGTATGTTTCCTACTAAATTGCTGCTTACAGTGGAAACTATGCTTCCTAGCATCCCGCCTGTAACAAAAAAAACTAAGTATTACCAAAAGTGTACACTGCCTATCCTAACAACAGGAATTTATAACACTTATACAGGGTGACGAGAAAATAGATGCGGAGCCGGTGGGGGGAGATAGTACAAGCCAATCTGAGTCGATTTTACTATAGGAACTACTGTCCGAAAATTAGCCGTTTTCGAATTATACTAATTTTTAAGATTTTATAAGATTAACGTCTTTTATACGTTAAACAAGTCATAAAACTTGAAAATTGGGTGTTTCATTTGATTTTTTTTTGGTTTTACAATAAAAATATTCTAGAATACGAAAATTGATACTCAAATGTACATTATTGACGTTGTCTCATGCAGTAAGCTTCAGAATAGTTGAATTTTTGTTAAAAAAATTTTTCGTTCATCTCAAAAACTCAATTTACTACAAACAATCACCTACAAATTTTTCGTGTAAAACAATTTTAAAATATCTACGTTTCATTACCTTTCAAATGAGGTGTATCATAGTCACAAACCGGTTTAGAAATGACAAAGATATGAGTGCAAGAAACAGGTGGAGCCGCGAACAGACTTTGCCACCGGAATAGTGTGATAAGTAAGACTAGTCACCCCCTCCCTCCCTCGCTTCAATCTGCTCTTGCGATTTGTTGCGTTCGGATGTGTTTGTTTGCTCGCTGTTTTGATATTTCTAACGACTTGGCTCTTGTTGGACTTCCGTGTGTGATTCTTTTCCTGACGACCTAGACTGTACCCTGCTTTCTGTGATTCCTTGCGACTTGGCTGCTGTGTGACTTGATTGTTCGTTGAGGCAATGCTGAAGAAGCTCCTCGTGAGGAAATGTTTCCTAATCATCGCCTACCTGACGCCCGCGTATTTAAGTAAATTTCCGTCGGGTTCGAGAGCGCGTCGTAAGATAAAAAGGTAAGTTTGCATCATTGATAATTATTAACTTATCATAATCAGTCATTCAGTAAGGCCTATGCAGAGCCTTGTAGGTCTATGGGCTGAACTGATGATACTGTAACATACTTGTTTTGATCCAGTTGATTGAACTTCTTAATTAAGAGTTTATTCATTTAATTTTAACACGAGCATCTTCACGGCTCTGAAGATGGAAACATCCACATGTTGTGTATCGTTTTTTCTAAATAACAACTCTAGCTCATAGTCTTATACCGCTATGTTTATTAGGTAACAATTTCCTCCAAAAAAACTGTTGTTATTTGTTTTTTCATTTTATTTCAGGTGATGCAGGTAGACCTCGACATGATGTGGAAGAAGAAGAAGAAATATTAAATATTTTCCAAAGAGACCCTACTCTCTCTACTCGCGCTGTGGCTCGACGGCTTGGATTACCCAATGGCAAGTGTGGTATGTTTTGCATGAAAATAAATTCCACCCTTACCACTACACAACTACACACCTGTGCTCGTCATAGAGGAAGGATATCCCATGAGGCGCATGCAATTTTGTTGTTTTATTTTAAACGCTGATGTTGAAGATAGCAATTATTTAAGAAAAATTCTATGGGCCGACGGATTAAAATTTGATAAAGACAGCATAACAAACTACCATAACGCTCACTATTGGCGTGAACGTGCAGTGGGAAATCCTCATATGGAGAGACCAAAAGGATCTCAAAGGCGATTTTGTCTGAATGTCTGGATGGGCATTATAAATAACTGTTTGGCCACATTTCCTCTCCGACAACTTAAATGGAGAAGCCTACGAAAATTTCTTAAGAAATGTTCTATTTGAATTACTTGAAGACGTGCCGCTACACAGAAGACAGAATGATTTTTCAGCATGACGGGTCCACAGCACATTTCAGACTAAGTGTTAGAAATTGGTTAAATGAGCAGTTTCCGAATCGATGGATCGGTAGAGGCGGACCAATCCCATGGCCAACACGCAGTCCCGATCTCTCACCTATGGACTTTTTTGTGTGGGGTCGCATGCAAACTTTAGTATACTCTGATCAAAATCCCGTACCCACAATAGAAGACCTCAGAAACAGGATAATACATGCAGCACAAGAAATTCAAGCCTCTCTTAGGAATTCGGCGTTAGTAAAATCAGCTCTCATAAGAAGAGCACGTGTGTGCATTAGAAATAGAGGGCGCCATATTGAAAATCTATTATAAAAATAAAAAAATGTAGTTTCAAACAAATTATCCTGTATTAAGGTATGATTTTGTAAGTGTAGTATTTTTATTGCTTTTTCCTTCCTCCTCTTATAATAGTCATATTTTGCCAATTCTTAATTGATTTGTGATTTTTATACCTCGTTTGAAAGTTAATGAAACGTAGATGTTTTCTAATTATTTTGTACGAAAAATTTGTATGCGACTTTTTCTAGTAAACTGAAGCTTTTCAAATGAATGAAGATTTTTTTAACAAAAATGGAACTATTTTGAGCTTACTGCATGAGATAACGTCAATAACGTAGATCTGAGAATCAATTTTCGTATTTTAGAATATTTTTATTGTAAAACCAAAGAAAATCAAATGAAACACCCAATTTTCAAGTTTTATGACTTGGTTAACGTATAAAGGACTTTAATTTTATAGAATCTTAAAAATTAGTATAATTCGAAAACGGCTAATTTTCGGACAGTAGTTCCTATAGTAAAATCGACTCAGATTGGCTTGTACTATCTCCCCCCACCGGCTCCGCCTCTATTTTCCCGTCACCCTGTATAGTGCGTGTAAACGAAGCTCCTGCTCCTTGGTTAGATAAATAATATTAAACTTGTATTCAATCAGAGAGCTGAAGCCTTGTCGAAGTTCAAGCATGATCGTACAGCCGCCTCTTGGCAACAGTATTATACATATACTAAGTGACATATAAATCCGAACACCCAGTTTAAATGGTTTTATTTTAATAAAATTTTGTATAAGTACTTAATGAAGCATAATAAGTAAATGATAAAAATTTCAAAATGATTGCACTGCTTTAAAGCCCTTCGACCTTTAATAATGTGTGGATGCACCCTGATGTGCTACGCATTCTCCAACGCGCCTAGGCATGCTTCTGATCAGGTGCTCAATGTCCTCCTGTGGTATCTCATTCCAGGCAACCACCAACTCCTCTCGAAGTGCTTCTAGAGTCTGAGGAAGACGTTGCAAATTGAGCAATCTCCTACCCATCATATCCCACACGTGCTCAATTGGGGATAAGTCGGGAGATCTTGGTGGCCATGGTAACAATGTGACATCATTATGTTGAAAGAAGTCTATTGTGACTCTTGCAACATGTGGTCGGGCATTATCTTGTTGGAAAGTTGGATCTGCCAGGGTGTCAAGATAGGGTAAAAGATGGGGTTCTAGAACTTCGTGGATATAACGCTGCGCGTTCATGTTACCTCTGATGAAGATTAAAGGTGACCTGGAACCATAAGCTGTAGCACCACAAACCATAACTCCAACACTGTGATGAACATATCTTTCAACTAAAAACTGTGGCTTGCTCCTTTCACCACGTCGCCTTCTAACCCTGGCACGACCATCGTGCATGCCTAAACAAAATCGAGACTTGTCACTAAAAACAATACTGTTCCATTCCTGATCCCAGAGTGACCGTTGTCTGCACCACTCAAGGCGATTACGTCGGTGTTCTCGAGTTAAAGGGAGGACCCAGTGTGGCCGGTATAAAAACAAGCCAAAACTTCTCATTCGTCGGTAAACACTTCGCATGCCAATAGGTCTTCCGTGTTCTGCAAACCATTCATTTGCAATGGACCTGGTAGTGGAGAAACGGTCCCTTAAGGCCAATAATCTTAGGCGGCGATCTTCACGGTCTGTTGTTCTACGGCGGCGTCCAGTGCCCCTTGCTCTTTGCGTACGGCCTTCTCGAAGCCATGCCTGACAACACCTAACCACAGTGTCTACACTTCTTTGCACTCTAACTGCAATTGCCCGAAAAGAAAGTCCAGCTTCCCGAAGTCCCACTATACGGCCCCTATCAAACTCACTAAGTTGACGAAATCGTACAGGTCTCCGTACTCTAGGCATCGTAACCGATCGTAAAGGATGTCAAGAACCAAAATCCGCCAACGTTGATTCTTTACTGCGGCTGAAATATTCATTTTTAGAGCGTTAGTGAATTAAAAAAAAGCAATATAAAAACCGGAATGTCCAACTGATAAGGCTGAAAATTTTTTCACTTGTTATTTACAGTAAGATAAATACATTCACCAACTTTTATTAAAATAAAACCATTTAAACTGGGCGTTCGGATTTATATGTCACTTAGTATATTTCAGAAATGGTGCATTAACACTCCTGCGGAAAGGAAAAAGAGATTCTACAAGCTGTTCAAAACCAGTATATAAAAAAGTTTTATAAAACCCCAAAGTCTTTCAAAGTCCAATCTCAGAAAGATAAGGTATTTATTTCAATTTTTGAGAACAGTGAGGGTGAACAGTATTGAGGTGTGCTGATAAAATTACATATTACCGAGCTAATAACAATTACTCAAAATTTCAATTTAGTACAGTGAGTATTGACACCAGTATTAAAATCATTCATAAAATAAAATCAAATTCTAGTGGTTCAAATGGAATAACTTTTCATATGATACTACAGGGTGGCCAATATATAAGTGACTGATTTAAATTGCGCGCCATTTTTGATACACGCATTTCAGTAGGTGGTGCTGTAGTAGTTGTTTAAAGCACATGTGTCCAATTCTTCATGGAGCGTTACACGATCTCACAACGCATCCGTATAGTTAAAACGTTTTACTTAAATAATGTGTCGAGAGTCGAAACGATTCGGAAGCTACGACAAGATTGCGGTCGAATTCGTCGGTTGGTGCGAAAATTTGAACAGGTGAAGTTGAAGACTTGCTAAGGTCGGGCCGTGTTCGAACTGTTCGTACTTCGGAAAATATCGAGAGAGTTCGTAAAAGTGTAGTGGAGCGTCCTGAGATATCTACCAGACATCGTTCTCAAGAACTGGGTATTTGTCGCACGTCATTATGCATTATTAAAAAAAAGACTTTCATTTGCGGCCATACAAAATTCAGTGAACCCAAGAACTACAGCCTAGTGATCATGAAAGTAGCCGACAATACAGTCATGCAATATTGTAGCTTAATACCAAAAATAACGATGTGTACCGACAACTGATAATGAGCGATGAAGCCCACTTCGACAAGAACAGATTTGTTAATAAGAAGAATTGTTGTATCTGGCCATGTCATCCATCAACGACCACTACATCCTCGTCGAGTCACAGTCCGGTGCGGCGTTTGGCATGGAGGTGTCATTGGACCTTATTTCTTTGAAGTCGCTGGAAGTAATTCTCTTACTGTCACTGGCGACCGCTACCGTGATATGGTGCAAAACTTTCTGGCTCCTCAAATTCAACAATTTAACCCGCAAAACCTGTGGTTCCAGCAGGACGGAGCAACTTGTCACACAGCTATGGAAACAATGAATCTTATGCGTACAATATTTCCGGGACGTTTAATTTCTCGATTTTTTGATGTCAACTGACCACCAAGGTCACCGGATTTAACGGTTCCTGCCCTTTTTATGGTGATTTTTGAAAAGTAGGGTTTATGCTAACAAACCAAATACTGTAGAGCAGCTGAAGAAGAATATTACGGAAGCGCTTGAAAATATTCCTACCTAAACGTAGCAAAAAGTGATGAAACATGTAATCAAGACGACTCTGATATTATTTTTTATACATAATTTCTAAGTTTCAATAAAAGATTAAGATGAAAAAAATGGACGTATTTTATTCCATTTCACAGATATTCAAGATACAAACCAGTCAGTTACATATCGGCCATCCTGTACTATGTAAGTATATCGGAAATTGATGTGTACTTAAAACACATAATCAACTTCTGTTTAGAGAGGGGATATTTCCCAGATCAGTGGCAATACGCTATAGTTCTGTGCTGATCCTACTAACTATAGCCAAATAAGACCGATCAGTTTACTGCCTATTTTCGCAAAAGTGCTGGAACGCGTTATTTACGAGCACCTCTACGCCTGTACTATATTCTAAAAAAATTATTCTATCTAAATACAGCTTCAGCACTGATTTAACAGGCAATATAACACTGGCGCCGCTTCTTGACTTTACTAAAGCATTTGACACAATTAACCATTCACTTCTTGTGTCTAAATGCAGATATCATGAATTTTATGAAAAGTCTCTTTCGTTTATTCAAGCCTACCTTGAAAATCGGTTTCAAAAAGTTCGTCCAAATTAACAGTACTCTACCGCACAAAAAAATTGTTCTCGTGACCACAGGGATCTGTGTTAGGACCGCTGTTATTTTCATTATATATCTTTAGAAACAGAGGTAAAATCATGCAGCATACAATTTTTTGCCGGTAATACTCAAATTTTCTATTCATTTAGAAGTAATAACTTGAAAACAGCTAATAATAAAATTAATCAACATCTTGCCCAAATTGAAAAGTTTAGTAGTAGTCATAATCTTCGTTTGGACCCTTTAAAGACAAATAGGTTGGTATAGGCAAGTAAAACAAAAATGAGTGTTTTAAAAAAAGAACATACGCATAAATTTAAAATGTAATAACATTGTACCTGTGGATCATCCGAAGAACTTAGGTACTATAATGGATGATGACTTAAAATTTGATGAACATGTAAACAATTTCATTTCTGAGAGTTTTATATGCAAATAAGGCTACATGAATCTGCAAGAAAGCAATTGTGTGAATCTTTCTTGTTTTCAAAAATATCATATTGATTAGTGGTTTACCGTTTACTATCTTGTACGGGTGGAATTTATTGTATTTCAAAATTATTTGTGCTGTTGAGCGCGTGAAAATCCTGAAGTAGCTAGCCCACGAGTGCTTTGGGTGTCGTCAAGTGCTACGTGGAATGACGAAGTAGAATAGGTACTGGGTGCGCCATCTATTACTTTTTTTTACCTATAAGTTTATGTGTTACCATGTGAGTCAAAAGTCATGTGGTATGCATAAATGAACTGTCAAAGGTATGCCATTTATAGTCATGGATTCGTTTACAACCCAACAACGCATTTTGGTTATCCAAACTTATTACGAAAACGGTCGAAATATAAAAAATACTTTTCGCAAACATCGCACTAGTTTTGGCCGACATGGACGCCCTACAAAGCCTGGAATCCGTTGGATTGGTGATCATTTTGAGGAAACTGGTTCAGCTGAAGATCGTAGACCATACCAACATGCTCGTCCAGCTCGTAATCGTGAAAACATAGCCGCAGTGAGTGAAAGTGTGCGAGAAGATCCAACCACCTCGACTAGGCACCGTTCGCAACAATTGCGAATTAGTGAGACCACTTTACGCCGGATTTTACACATTGATTTACACCTCCATCCATACAAAATCCAACTAACTCAAGAATTGAAGCCGGCAGACCATCAACAGCGGCGTGTTTTTGTTAATTGGATGGTGGAAAGAGAAGACGGATTTTCGACCAATGTGCTCTTTTCTGATGAAGCTCATTTTTACCTGAATGTGTACGTAAATAAGCAAAATTGCAGATTCTGGGGGGTTGAAAATCCACACCAATATCATGAACAATCTCTCCATCCTGAAAAAGTGACTTTTTGGAGCGGATTATGGGCTGGTGGCATCGTTGGACCATTCTTCTTTGAAGATGCCGAAGAAAAGGCCATTACGGTCTACGGGGAACGTTATCGCGGCATGTTAACAGACTTTTTGTGGCCACAATTGGATCGTATTGGTGCCGACGATCTTTGGTTTCATCAAGTCGAAGCAACGGCTAACACACCTCGCCAAACAATCGGCTTATTGCACACGAAATTTCAAGACCGCATAATTTCTCGAAATTCAGATGTCAGTTGACTCCCGAGATCGTGCGATTTAACACCTCTTGACTATTTTCTCTGGGGATTTTTAAAAGGAAAAGTGTATGCGAATGGTCCTCGGACAATTCAAGACCTAAAGCGCAATATTCGGACTGAAATTGCGGCCATAGACGATTATTCTAGGAAAAGTCATTGAAAATTTTGATGTTCGGATGTTGGCCTGTAAACGAAGCCGCGGTGGTCACATGACTGATGTTATTTTTCATACATAAATGGCATAAACCAACCTTCATTTATCAATAAGAAAAAAATTCGATTTCACCTCGTAAAAAGCGTGTTTTTTCAAATAAAAAAAAAGTAATATATGACGCACCCTGTATATAAGACAAATGGATTTGGACTGGAAAGCAGCAGATATTAACTAAAGATATGACAAGATGGAGAAAAATATTGGAGAAAACTGAAAAACAGAATGCTGCCAACCTCTACAGTGGCTAGATGCGGTAGAAGAGGAACAGATTAATAATTTTTCCGACCTCAGAACCTCCGAGGATTGAGCGATCATCACCGAAATGTTTGCTCTTCCCATGTCTTGCTATGTTGGAGTTCTAGCCTCGAAACAATCGCAACAAATTTATTGTCTTCAAGGACTGCCGCGGCACTTATTCGGCTAATGTGATTTGAATTCATGAATACAGGAAGCAATCGGCATTATTCGTGACAATATTTACCTATTCCTCCCTGTTCTTTTGCACCATCAGCTATGACTTCTTCAATTGCCGCAAACCTCAAATCCCTGCCCATCAGTTTCTCCTCTTCAGAGGAACTATCGCCATTAAAATGGGCTGCTTCAAAATGTATATCCCTGCGTTCAGAGTCGGAATCACTCGAGAGCTCCCCTGGAATTTATTACATGAATTGTCGATGGAGAAAAATATAGAAGACCATACTCTATATGGCATCAAGGGAGTTCCGCTTCAACTATTTAAAAGCTACTTAAGTAATAGACGTCACTATGTACAAATTAATAACAGCAAGTCAAACATAACCAAACTGGAAACTGGTGTTTATACTTGGGCTGCTTCTATATACAGGGTGTTACTTAATGATATGCGAATATTTAAGGGTGTGAATCTACCTGAAAAATTAATGTTAGTTTGCTTCATAAACTATGGTCCAAAAATGTTTCCTTACAAAAACTCGGGGTGTTGACGTTTTAGGGAAAAAAAATGGAAATTAATTAATATTTTCAGAACCGCTTCAGATATTTCACGTAGTGAAAGTTAATAAAGTTGCATGTTTTTCAATGCAAAAATAATTTTTAGCTTTAACAGTGGCGTGCGTACGGGTATTGACTTCGATATTTTTTAAGAAAAAAATGGTACGTCAATGGATTTTTGCCAAATAAAAATTATTCTTGTATTCCCCGTTCAATTTAAAACAAATGAATGAATTGTTTTCCTTCGATGCGCCATTTTAGAGTAAAAAAATAAAACCCGTTCTATTCTCCGAGAAAATTAATGTAATAATTGAAGAATGCAATTTAGCAACAAATATCTAGTTGCTCTGGAATATGTCGCTGGCTTTTGACATCTGACAAGTCTCATAAATAAATTCATTAGACACCTTTCAATAAAAAATTAATTGCAAAAAACTGGAACTATAAAGGACAAAAATATATAGACAAAGCAAAACAATTATAGAAAAAAGGAGCAAAGTTCATTGAATTATACAGAACCAACCATGTTTGTGTTAATATTTTGTAGCATAACCATTATTATCAATCACCGCCTGGCATCGTCTCGGCATAGATTGTAGAAGATATAAGATTCACCAATCTGTCTCCACTTTTGCTCTAAAGCGGCGAAGTTCATCCTTGTTTGAATAATTTTTATCTCGTATTTGCTTATAAATCTATTTCCATGGGGTTTATATCGGGAGACTGAAGGCCATTTGAGAACTGGTATTGGTCCCTTCCCAAACCCCGAAAAGCACCCCGAGACCATAACAGACCCGCCTCCATGTTTGACAGTGGGCAAAGTGTCATTGGGGTTCAATCTTTGTCTAACGTAATGAATACCATCTGATCCAAACATATTGAACTTGGATTCGTCACTGAAACATACCCTCTTCCAGTCACAGATGCTCCAATCAAGATGCAATCGTGCAAATTGTAATCGGTCCTTACGGTTTTTCCTCGAGATTAGTGGCTTCTGACTCGGGCGACGTGCAAATAACTTCAAAACATTTAATCTTCTACTTATAGTTTTCGTAGAAACACTGCCTATTCCTTTTGTCTCGATTTCGGCTTTTATTTGTCTTGGGGTTTTAAACAGATCTTTGGACGAAATTAATTTTATTAATCTAACTGATCTAGCATTTAGTTTTCTAGGCCGACCACTTCTCTTAGAGGCTTCCAAGATACCTTTTTGTTTATATTTGTTCAATATTGCCCAAACTGCTTTACGCTTCAGCTTCAAATTTTTGGCAATGTCGACTTGACGTTGACCATCTTTGTATAACTCAATGATCTTAGTTTTCACATCGAAAGAAATTTCTGGACCACGCGGCATGATCTTAAAATCACTCAACTTATTCCACAATACTTGATGAACACAAACTAGTCTGACACGAAACTGTACTAAACTAATGTTGAAAAGTATTTGACTACATATTTTTGTCCCTGATAAAAAAGTGCTTATATTCAGACTTGTATTGTGTTCATTGCAGATAATGTAAAAACAAGGAATTTAGTTTTTCTACTAATAACGCATTTGTTTATGGAGCAATGAAGTATGAATTCGTTTTCTAAAAGTATTTAGGTAAATATTCACATATTTGTCTATATACTTTTGTCCATTACTGTAGGTTCTTACTACTAAAAATTGAATGATGCCAAGTTTTGTCATTGAAGTCGTAATACTTGCGAAATACTACAAATAAAAAATAAGTGCAGCAGTCTTTTGTATCCAAATAACTAAGTGTAATGAAACGACCTAAACATGTCATTGACTATCTCGCTCTCACATTCGTTGTCCGGTCAGTAGCATTATGCCACCTCGAGGAACAGGGGTGGTACCTGCGCACCGCACGCGAGGGGTTAATTTAGTACCGTTCTTTGTGTTAGTGATTCACACGTGATATTTAGCTCTTTCGCTGTTTAGGTCGTTTCATTCCTTAGTGATTTGGATACAAAAGGCTGCTGCTCTTATTTTTTATTTGTAGTATTTCGCAAGTATTACGACATCAATGACAAAACTTGCAATTACTCAATTTTTAGTAGAAAAAACCTACAAATGGTATACTATTTTTAAAAGAGAATTAAATATGCTAGTTTTTAAGATCATTTGCCGATTCAGTCTGATACATTTTTGTCACAGTAATTAGTCAAACTTTAGTAAAGGTGTTTACATTGAAACAAAATGTATTAATTTCTTTTTTAGCATATCGTGCTTGTTTTCAATTAAATGAAAACTCGGTTGTCTCAACTAACTGTTAATAGTAGCCCAAGAAAAAACTCATAAGTTAGAAGTTCTTAATAGCCATAACAGGCAAAAAGGAGCAAAAAGTAGTGTTTTTAAAAAAAAAACCTAAAAGTGGCAATATCTCGAATACTAGAAAACTTTTACTGTCATGTTGATTTTATCTGGTTGATCTGAGGCCAATCTATCTCCCGTCACTCTGGCGTGTTATTTCTGGGACACCCTGTACTTGACGCCATTTTCCAAAGTATAAAGATTTAAGTGAGTACCTGGGGTAAAAGAGACAGCTGAACTAGTATGAGGGATAAGATCCTCCTCTTCAATATCATTCTGGATTTCGGCGACGTCAAGGTAGGAAGGCATTTGACTTAGGCCGCTTATCAACGAATTTGAAGCAGAATCTAAAATAAAATACATTTCAAAATATAATGGCTGGATGGCGAGTCATAAAAAAAATTACTATTTATTAAGGTTCTAACACGTTGAAGTTCAAAAATCGTATTAGGGGTACAATGAGGTATAAAACAGAATAAAAAACAGCCTTCTCATTAGAAGATCCAAAAACTTTATTGAAATCAATATTCACTAAGGAAAAAGCATTCCTCAAAGATTGCAAATCAAATCTTATAGGAGGTTTATTCCAGTTTTCGGAAATATTTTCTGTGGAATCACTGGTTACCGAGATATTAGTGTCGATGTCACAAGGATCCATTTTCATTCAAAGTCAGATATCTCCGCGTCAAATGATCGTATCGAGATTTTAAAAACAGGTTGTTGAAGCCGAATATACTGGCTATCTGATCCATATGATGCCATAACAGAAAAAAGCCCGGGGACTAGAAGGAAGACAAACATTTTACAAAAAAAATTTCTTACACTATCTGTTTGCATTGCTTTCAAAAACCTGAAAACTAGAATCATAAATCTTCAAAATGTATTTTTTAAAGTCTAGATCCGAAAGATCACCGAAAAATTTGGATTTTTATTCTTACTCCCTCAATTTTTTTAAGTAGCGGTAAACTACTAGTCGTATAGTCAACCAGAGCGAGCATATGTTGCAAGAAACGTCTTATCCTCTAACATAACCCAACTAGCAAAGTAGTGCTATAAGCTTTTGGTAAAAGAACCGTTCAGCCATAAAAGCTCTCTATTGTTGTTGCCTGAACACCAAAATGCTGGCTTAATGTTGTGTGGAATGCAAATTTGCTTTCTGCAACATATTTGCTCTAAAATGAGGTGTTTAAAATATTCTTATACCATAGTTACACAACACCCTATAGGACAAATTTTTAACTGTTGCATAAACGTTTATACAACTATTTTATACGGCATATTTGCAGGTTAGTCAAAATGGTTGTTTTGTGGCATCCATGGTAACATTTATAAAACAAACCCGAGCCTTGTTGTTATGCTGTGCAAATTTACTACTTTAGCCAACAAATTGTTCCCAACGGAAGCACTTATACAACTGTTGTTTAGTAACTGTTAAAGGCTGTACATATGCTAAATATGTTGGTATACAACTTCACCATAACCTGACTTTCTGCTGTCATATTTTTGTTAAAATGCCATAACCAATGTTTTAAGACAAACAACGCATGCATATTGGTTAAAAAGGTTTTATCAACTGTTCAAACAGAAGATATAGATCTGGTACAAATTCTAGGTAAATCATTCGACTCTGTCGGTATTTCATTTCTGACATTTGTCAAATTGTTGTATAACACCTGCAGGCAACACCAAAATATTTTAATAACCTAAAGACAACATGGACGATGCCTTGATTGTACACAACCACCCGCCATATTGGGCAAACATTTATTCCTCTATTTAATATTAAATAATTAAGTTTCAGTTCGAAATTACAGATAAAAAGTGATAAACATTAGTGTAGTTGTGTCTAAATATAGGATTTGTGGAAGATTTAACGCAGATAAGTTCAGTTTTCCATCATAAAAATCTAGACTTACTTTTGATCATTATCAAAATATGAATAAAATACGAAGCCCGTATAAATTGCGGAACTACTTGCACGATAATCACAATAAAATTTGTTGCGCGAGTAATTCAATAGCCCTATATCACAGTGTAGAAGTTTATCATATACCTGTGTATGAAATTCACAATTTCCGATATGTAAGTAAACAAGATGACTGTATTGTGTTAGTTATATATTCTTCACTTCGTCTATACAATACATAAGAAATAATTTGGTTGCAATAAAGTAGAATCACGTAACAGAATAGTTGTATAGTTCACAAAAACTGAATCTTGCACTGATGCAAATTTCCTTTAGCGGCTGCAAGAGTCTTACACTTTTGTTGTATAACTGTTACCTGCAGGCCTTATACAACCTCTTAAATGACTGAAGTGTCCTATTAGGTGTGCCCATTCCGCTTGTATAGCTGTTCTAAGAGGGTTTTGCCAATGTTCTTACAGTATACAATGCTGTGTAAGGAATACTGTATAATCATTCTTGCAACTCTAATAGGAGTGATAATTGTTAGTTGGGAATGAAGAGACCGACAAACTAGGAAATATATTTACCTGCTGTTTTGTCAGTTAGCAAACTGTCAACATCATCATTGTCTCTGTTGGCAAAATCTTTGTTACAAATGAATGGAATTAGCTCTTCTTCAGCCACATGACCTGAAATGATGAGTGATCCTTTTGAACTAGGGTGTTAAAAATCAGAAGCAATGGAAAAATTAATAACACAGCACAGTTTGAAACTCTATTTTTTTAACCTTCACACACCTTATACTTACGCATGACAACTGATATATCTAAAATTCAATCTTTGTTTGTTTGTTGATAATTTATTTAGCGTTAATGCTACAAGGTCAATTTTGTTTAATTGTCCGTTTACTCATTTTTGGAACAATTTTCTGTAATTTGACATTTTTGTCTATTAAAATTACATCACTATGCATTTTGGCTATTCATAAAGAGATTTTTAAGTTTCACCTTAAACTTTTTTAATTTCGAACACTAATACATTATTCAATTCATTAAATTCGGATACTCCTTTTTGAAATAAAAATTTGATAGTTATGCTACTATTACAATTTTGCAGATGAAAATCTGTACTGCCTCTAGTTTCGTAGTTATGATGATGGCTATTAAATTTTGAGAAGTTTTCTAAATGTGGTGGTAACAATAGATTTTATAATTTTAAAATGGAAACGAAAACTAAATATCATACAATTTTTCACATTCAACCACTGTAATTCTTCTAACATAGACTTAATCTTAGCATATTTGTGTTCATTTAAAATGATTCTCATAGCTTTATTTTGTAGAATTTTCAATTTGAATATGTTTTCATTTGCTGTAAACATGATGGTTCAACAATATAAAAAATGGGGAAGAATTATATGGGGTTGTCCAAAACGGACGCAGGAAAGTAAACGCATATTAAAACAAGAAAGATTCATATTCAAATCAAGTTGGGTACTTTATTTTGAAGGTTCATTTATACCATTTATGTATGAAAAATAATATCGCTCAAATGTTCACCACGACTCTATTTACAGACGTCCACGCGATGGTCGAAATTTTCAATGACATTTTGCAACATGGTCTGTTCTATGGCATTTATCTCGGCAATGATGTTGTTTTTGAGTTCTTGGAAGGTGGCTGGTTTGTTGACGTAGACTTTGATTTTCAAATATCCCCATCAAAAGAAGTCCAAGGGAGTCAAATCGCATGATCTTGGTGGCCATGGCACATTACCTCTGCGCGAAATCACGCGATCACCGAAGAAGGAATGCAATCGATGGATAATGACGTTGGTTGTGTGGCATGTTGCACCGTCTTGTTGGAAATAAACATCGTCCATATCCATTCCTTCAAGTTGCGGCAAAAAATAGTCCTCTATCAGCACGTGATATCGCTCAGAATTGACGGTAACGGCGTCCCCGGCCGCATTTTCGAAAAAGTAAGGCCCGATGATGCCTTTTGACCACAATGCACACCACACAGTCACTTTTTGAGGATGCATCGGCTGCTCTTGATACTCACGGGGATTTTCGTTCGCCCAGATGCGGCAGTTTTGCTTGTTTACCGTCCCATTCAAAGTGAAATGCGCTTCGTCGCTGAACATGATTTTTGATGAAAAATTGGCATCAATTTGGCGGTGTTCAAGGAGCCAATCTGAGAACGTTCGGCACGAAAAATGGTCGGCCCGACGCAGCTCTTGCGTCAATTGGATCTTGTAGGCGTGTACATTCAAATCCTTGTGGAGAATGCGGAGCAAACTCGTTCTCGAAATGCCCAATTCTTGGGATCGACGCGTTGTTGATTGTTTCGGATCGTCTCTCACACTCTCCTTCACAACAGCAATATTTTCCGGTGTGCGAACGCTCCTTGGCCGGCCAGAGCCTGGCAGATTTGCCGCAGAACCTGTTGCCTCGAATTTACGCACCAGACGACCGATGGTTGTTTCGTTTGGGCGGTTGTTGCGACCGAAATGTTCACGAAGCGCGCGAAACGTGTTTTTTATTTGTGCACCATTTTTGTAATGCTCTTGAATAACTTTAATGCGGTCTTCAATCAAATACGACTCCATAGCGATCAATGGTAAACATTCAACTAACAAAATGACATGTCGGTGACAGAAAACAAAGATGGCGTCTATGTCAAATTGACGTTTACTTTCCTGTGTCCCTATTGGACAACCCGTTAGTGTTATACACATTTTTTTGGAATACATACTGTAGAAGTAATTTATCTTTTTTGATATTTTTGGAATAATGTACTTAATGCCCTTGAAACAGTAGTTCACAGTCCACATATACGAGTATACCCAGATAATTGAATGATTCGACATTTCAATTCTTTCATCATTAATCATGAGCCGAATTGTATTGTCAGCTAAATGACATACATTTTGTTTTCTTAGTGATAAAGTTTATTAACATTTAACCAATTTATAATGTTTTTAATATCTCTATTAAGCAGTTCTAAAGCAGTGTCCAAATGTGTATGTGCTATATATATACGTATATATATAGCACTGTATCGTCCGCAAATATTTGAATTTTGCAGTGTTCTAAAGTGTCAGCGATATCATTTTTATATATAATGAATAAAACGGCGCCAATTTATTCCCCCGTAGCATCCCTACTGATATATTTTGAACGCTTTACATAATATTTCCAATGTTAATCTTTTGACTTCTATTTATTTAATAATTTTGTAAAACGTTTAATACTGATCCTTTAAAACCGTAGTGATGTAATTTCAATAGCAATGTTTCGCTATCTATAGTCTCAAATGCCCTTTTGACGTCTATACTTCTTCTCAGGGCTTCAACCACGATTTGGATTTCTGTTTTCGGAGAAAAAAATATTGACAAATGTAGTGCTTACCTCTTGGATTAAGGATTGATCTACATAAAATCTTCAGAGTACCAACATGCTCCTCGGGAAGACATTTAAATCCAAGCGGTAGGAAAAATATTGCCAAAATTGTTAGATAGGTCAGCATGTATCCAGACATACTGTTTGCAATAACAGTCATTACTAGGAAGATTAAGGACATTCCAATGCAGAACTATAAAAAACATGTAGACTTTTGAATACCAAGAACATAACTTTAACGACATGTCAGGATTAAAAATGTTTTTAGCGATGACCTACGAGTATGAAATTTGAGTCAATTATCTAACTTTAACATTAATGAATTTGATGTATTTGATTCTTTTACATTATATATCCAACATGCAAGAATAGGCGTAGATAAGTCACTAAAATTTTGAGAAACGAATCCGATGAGTGACGGTATTTTTTAGTTCAACCATACATCCTAATAAAATTGAGTCTTTAATTTAATAGCTTGTAGAACTCGTCAAAAGAAGTTGATATAACATATATAAAAGTTGAATAATAAGAGAGTTAGTTTATATTATACTAAGTGACATATAAATCCGAACACCCAGTTTAATTGGTTTTATTTTAATAAAAGTTGGTGAATGTATTTATCTTACTGTAAATAACAAGTGAAAAAATTTTCAGCCTTATCAGTTGGACATTCCGGTTTTTATACTGCTTTTTTTAATTCACTAACGCTCTAAAAATGAATATTTCAGACGCAGTAAAGAATCAACGTTGGCGGATTTTGGTTCTTGACATCCTTTACGATCGGTTACGATGCCTAGAGTACGGAGACCTGTACGATTTCGTCAACTTAGTGAGTTTGATAGGGACCGTATAGTGGGACTTCGGGAAGCTGGACTTTCTTTTCGGGCAATTGCAGTTAGAGTGCAAAGAAGTGTAGACACTGTGGTTAGGTGTTGTCAGGCATGGCTTCGAGAAGGCCGTACGCAAAGAGCAAGGGGCACTGGACGCCGCCGTAGAACAACAGACCGTGAAGATCGCCGCCTAAGATTATTGGCCTTAAGGGACCGTTTCTCCACTACCAGGTCCATTGCAAATGAATGGTTTGCAGAACACGGAAGACCTATTGGCATGCGAAGTGTTTACCGATGAATGAGAAGTTTTGGCTTGTTTTCATACCGGCCACACTGGGTCCTCCCTTTAACTCGAGAACACCGACGTAATCGCCTTGAGTGGTGCAGACAACGGTCACTCTGGGATCAGGAATGGAACAGTATTGTCTTTAGTGACGAGTCTCGATTTTGTTTAGGCATGCAAGATGGTCGTGCCAGGGTTAGAAGGCGACGTGGTGAAAGGAGGAATCCACAGTTTTTTGTTGAAAGACATGTTCATCACACTGTTGGAGTTATGGTTTGGGGTGCTATAGCTTATGGTTCCAGGTCACCTTTAATCTTCATCAGAGGTAACATGAACGCGCAGCGTTATATCCACGAAGTTCTAAAACCCCATCTTTTACCCTATCTTGACACCCTGGCAGATCCAACTTTCCAACAAGATAATGCCCGATCACATGTTGCAAGAGTCACAATAGACTTCTTTCAACATAATGATGTCACATTGTTACCATGGCCACCAATATCTCCCGACTTATCCCCAATTGAGCACGTGTGGGATATGATGGGTAGGAGATTGCTCAATTTGCAACGTCCTCCTCAGACTCTAGAAGCACTTCGAGAGGAGTTGGTGGTTGCCTGGAATGAGATACCACAGGACATTGACCACCTGATCAGAAGCATGCCTAGGCGCGTTGGAGAATGCGTAGCACATCAGGGTGCATCCACACATTATTAAAGGTCAAAGGGCTTTAAAGCAGTGCAATCATTTTGAAATTTTTATCATTTACTTATTATGCTTCATTAAGTACTTATACAAAATTTTATTAAAATAAAACCATTTAAACTGGGTGTTCGGATTTATATGTCACTTAGTATATCTATCTATCTATTCTAGAGTCAGTCTTGCAAATCTTGGTATTTTCAAGAAACCTTATCTTCCACATGATGTATCTTATGACCCCCTCTTTTACGTAGAAAAATTTCAACCACTATCTAGACATTTTCAGCCTGTCGTTCAAAAAATATGAATACCTATGTAAAATATGTTTATACTATGGAATGCATGGGAAATATTCAGTCAATCTTCTCAACCACCCAAGTAATTAAAGCATTTAGGCATTCTTCAGAGCACATAATGAAAATTAATGAATGTATACTTACAGAAGAAGGACTCTCTTTGCGAATTGCTCTAAGGTTGAGCACAACATCTTGAATCAGATGGTGAAACTTTTCAAATGCCTCTATATGCTCCAATGAATGATTAGTCAAATCCTTTGTATCATAATAAGCATCCAGTAAAAATGCAATCAATAGTCCAAAAAATAGCATACCAAAAAATTTGATCTGGAGTTGGACCACAATCCTGGAAATAAAAGAATTAATCAAAATGAGACAGCTCCATTACAATTTTCTGATCAGGGAATCACAATTTTGACAATGAGGCCTGCAGTATACACAAAAGTCCATATGCGCATAGATCTTTTGGTTAGCCAAGTACTCTAAAAGTAGCTGAAACTGGTAAAATCGGTGATAATGAGGTTTTTCCTGTTTTGTCCAATTTTTTGCGTTAAGAAATCATTATTTTAACAAAGGGACTAAAAAGGACGTAAACAATGTATTTCTTCTAACACCGGAGCAGCCGCACACGCAGAAGCCTGAAGAAACTTTGTTAATCCGACTGTTGAACTGTCTAAGGTTAGTAGAACTGGGAAAAACCTCCTCATGTAGATTGTTCTACAATATCCTAGTCTTGTCTGGGCCTTGTACAGAGTGAGTGGGTCATGTGGAGAAAAATACTTCTTAGCCCTAAACAAATAGCCTAGCTTTTTGTCAGCAGCTGCCGCTATTGTCGAGATCTGTTCGTGCCAGATCATGTCCTCGGTGATCTGGACTCCGACCAGCCGCAATGAACGGCTCCTTGGCAGAAATATTGCAATGCTCCCATTTTGATAATACAGTTTTGTTATTTCTACCCTTTCTTGAATTCAATATTTATCGCAACTAGGTAGGTAAATTAACAATTTGAAATGAAAGATGATTATTATTTTTTGCTCTGCATTCCATTATTATCAGTATAAAGTTAAGTTAGTTGAATTTTATTATAAACTCAAATAGCTTCACAACAATTGAACATAGGTATAAACTTTATTAATAATAATAATAAATCTTTATTTCAAAATAACAGTACCTGATTACAATGTATTACACACTGTTAGGTGAAATATACAGTAATGGAAAAAAGTATATAGACAAATATGAATATTTACCTAAATACCTTTAGAAAACGAATTCATCCTTCATTGCTCCATAAACAAATGCGTTATTAGTAGAAAAACTAAATGCCTTGTTTTTACATTATCTGCAATTAACACAAGTCTGAATATAAGTACTTTTTTATGAGGGACAAACATATGTAGACAAATTCTTTTCAACATTAGTTTAGTACAGTTTCGGGTCAGAAGAGGATTAGTTTGTGTTCAAGTATTGTGGAATAAGTTAAGTGATTATAAGACCATGCCGCGTGGTCCAGAAATTTCTTTCGATGTGAAAAGTAAGATCATTAAGTTATACAAAATATTCCAAAAATTTGAAGCTGAAGCGTAAAGCAGTTTCGGCGATATTGAACAAATATAAACAAAAAGGTATCTTGGAAGCCTCTAAGAGAAATGGTCGGCCTAGAACACTAAATGCTAGATCAGTTAGATTAATAAAAGTAATTTCGTCCAAAGATCCGTTTAAAACCCCCAAGACAAATAAAAGCCGAAATCGAGACAAAAGGAATAGGCAGGGTTTCTACGAAAACTATAAGTAGAAGATTAAATGATTTGATGTTATTTGCACGTCGCCCTAATAAGAAGCCGATAATCTCGAGGAAAAACCGTAAGGACCGATTACAATTTGCACGGTTGCATCTTGATTGGAGCATCTGTGACTGGATGAGGGTATGTTTCAGTGACGAATCCAAGTTCAATATGTTTGGATCAGATGGTGTTCATTACGTTAGACGTCCTAGTTGACAAAGATTGAACCCCACGTACACTTTGCCCGCTGTCAAACATGGAGGCGGGTCTGTTATGGTTTGGGGGTGCTTTTCGGGGTTTGGGATGGGACCTTTACGTAGAATAGATGGCATTATGGATAAGTTTGTATACACAGACATACTAAAGCATGTCATGTTACCCTATATGGAAGACAATATGCCCTTAGGATCAATCTTTCAGCAAGATAATAACCCGAAGCACACTTCAAATCTCCCAAAGAAATTCTTTCTGGATGAAAAAATACCAGTTCTCAAATGACCTTCGCAGTCTCCCGATATAAACTCCATTGAAAATCTATGGGAATACTTAGATAGCAAGCAAATACGAGATAAAAATTATTCAAACAAGGATGAACTTTTTGCTGCTTCAGAGCAAAAGTGGAGGCAGATTGATGAATCTTATATCAAGAAACTTCCACAATCTATGTCGAGACGATGACAGGCGATGATTGATAATAATGATTATGCTACAAAATATTAACACAAACATGGTTGGTTTTCTATAATTCAATGAACTTTGCTTCTTTTTTCTATAATTGTTTTGCTTTGTCTATATATTTTTGTCCTTCATAGTTCCAGTTTTTTTCAAATTATTTTTTATTGAAGGCAGTCTAATGAATTTATTTATGTACAAGTGAGTATTATGCTATAACGAATTATGTATACAGGTTGGTGTATTAAAAGAACAAGTTAAAAAAGAAATACAGCACAATATTAATTTGTCTATATACTTTTGTCCATTACTGTATGTCACAGTGTCATCGAGACAAACAAAGGGGCAAAACATATAACATAATAAAGACTTTACATTTCACAATATTCTTGAAGGTCATATGGTTCTAAGCGCATTAATATTATACAAACGTTACTAAAAACTTCTTGGAAAACCTAAAAGTTAAAAAAATTGGGGTTCTATTTAAAAATCAAAAGTGTAATGTAATGACCCTAATCACTTGGTAAACTATGGACCAATAAGCCTACTTTCTTGCTATGCAAAGCTTTTCAAACTGGTGATGTATTCACGAATTATGTATCACATGCTCTGTAACAACGTAATTGATGAATCACAATATGGCTTTATAAAAGGGAAATCGATAAATACGGCTATATACTCCTTTAGTCATAGTATTGTAGAATATCTGGAAAATAATATGATATCACTGGGTTTGTTTTTTGATGTCCTCAAAGCATATGATTGTGTTGAACATTCTCTCTTACTGAGTAAACTTGAGGCATTTGGGATAAGGGGAAGTGCCTCATTTAACAGACCTCCAACAAAGTGTTTCCATCATAAAGACTGGCATGACAGCTGTCTCATCGCAGTTAACAGTAGATAGAGGTATCCCACAAGGAAGCATCTTGGGTCATTTCCTCTTTGTGATGTTTGTAAATCTGAGTGATAGTATAGCAAACCCGAATAATGTATGTACTATTCAATATGCAGATGATACTAGTGTGATTATAGTTGGCCAAGATTTCAACCAAGTATCCGAACATACATCGAGCATATGCGAGAAAGCACTTTGGTGGTTTGCTCTTAAGGGTCTATCCTTGAGCACATCAAAAACAACTGAGCATTTTTCCCAGAATATACCAGTAGAGTCACAAATGGGGGTGCAACCTTTTTGTTGGGCCACACTGTATAAACGAAATACAAGACAGAAAAATAACAAGCATAATATACAGGGTGTCCGCAAAGTTGGGGTTTTCCTTTACACGACGTGTAGACCTTGAAAACATAAGCAATTTTTCTTAGTACCATATACACCAATGTCTTAAGGGAACCGAGATAAAGGGCTCTGCAACATCAAAAATATCTGAATACCGTCCTGTAGCCGCGACATCCCCTAGTGGTACTAGGACACTAGCTCAACCCGACGAACGAACTGGGTCGGGGTCAGTGTGTCAGGTCAGTATGCAACCTTCAACCGACGGTTACGGTCACGCGTGTAGAGATAATCGCGTAGACGTGAATCCCTCAACAAGCACTAGAGACGTGGCTAGAGAAGTGCAAGTATCAAAAACTAAAGTGTGGCAAACGCTGCGTGAAGAGGGGCTGTATCCGTTTCAACGTGTACAAGCCCTTCAACCTGACGATTTTCCAGCAAGAGTGCGGTTTTGTGAGTGGTTGTTGCATCAACATGACAATAATCCGGACTTTTTGAAGTGCATATTGGTGACAGACGCACAGACGGATCTACGATTCACGCGTAATGGGGTGAATAACTTTCGCAACACTCATGTTTGGTCAGTAGAAAATCCGCACGCTGTCCGTCGGGCACATTTTCAACAAACATTTTCGGTGAATGTTTTGCTGGCATGGTGAACGGTATGCTCATTGGACCATTTATTCTCCCAAATCGATTGGACGGGATGCAATACCTAGACTTTTTACGAAACATTTTGCCTTCCTTGTTTCCTGCGTCTGCTTGGTAGCGCATCAGCTGATTTCATTTTCTGTTGGAGCGGTATGATTTCGGGCAGAGACGTCAACTGGAGAGTGAGTACTTTTTCCTTTATTTTTTTTACTTGGTCGCCCTCGTTTCACTACACATTACCTTTGTTATTTCAAGGATAGTTGTTTCTGAAAAGGAAAACCCCAACTTTGCGGACACCCTGTATAGATATGATGTGGAACTTCCATAATTTTTTTTAAGGTGCTCCCCTTCCGGTTTGAGCTGGAAATGCCCTGGCTGACCCAGATCTCTGCAAGAATATAATTATAAGCAAAGTAATTCATTCGAACACTGAACGTAAACTTCTCCTGAATGCTGCAAGTTGGGGGTAAGTCAGGAAAAAGAAATCTCATCTTATCAATCAATCTCATTTTGAGTATAGTCTTACCAATATCTATAATTCACAGATTGAATCAAAATAACAGTACATATGAATATGTCTATGATTATTCAAGGGGTGATTTCTATTTGCTGTACAGATTATTGAGCGATGTTGATTGGTCAGAGCTTGAAACAACCTCAAATGTAGACAAGTGCACAGGTATGTTCTACCATAAGGTTTATGAATGTTTGGACCTGGCAATACCTAAAAGGAAAATTAAAAAATGCACTTCAAATGCCCAAAGTTATCCAATATTCTTTTAACGAGAACTAAAGAAAAATTTTAAATTAAAGAAACGCCTTTATAAACAAATTAAAAAGGGCAATGCTAGCTTTTATCTAAAGAATGAATATAATGAGGTTAGAAGTGCAATCAAATATCAGACTGCAAATGAACTACAGGCCTACCATGAAAAAATTGAAAAAAATGTAAAAACTGATCCAAATGGCTTTTGGGACTTTGTCAGGTCTAGGCGTTCTGGACTTGGTATCCCTGCTGAGGTATGCTATAAAGGATGTGTAATTGGTGGTGCCCAGGAAATAGCTGATACATTTCCTCTGTATTTTTAGCTCTGTGTTCCAACAATCCGAAACACCGAACTTTGATTTTTGTAATGGTAACTTCTCATTCTCTCCTATCTCAGAAATGCAAATACAGGCAGCCATTAAGAAGTTACAAACAAAAAAGGCCACTGGCAATGATAATATTCCCTCATATGTATACAAAGGTTGTTTGTTCTAATATCCTGTGCACTCCATTACAAACTATTTTTAATCTTTGTCTTAAAACAAGCACATTTCCAGACACTCTTAAATATGCTTTGGTTACTCCAGTCCTCAAAACAGGCAATAATTCTCTGGTTGACAACTACAGGCAAATTAGCGTTTTCAACTCTCTTGCGAAAATATTTGAGAATATCTTGTATCAAGATATTTTGAACTCTCTTATGCATAGGTTCTCTCTGCAGCAGATTAAAGTTAGTAAGCATTTATCAAAGATGAACATAATAACATCTGGGGTGCCCCAGGGCCTCTATTATTTAGAATTTTTGATTTGCCAAACTGTGTAAAATATGCCAAATGTCTCATATTTACTGATTTTAAAATATACAAGCATATAACTTGCCTTCAAGATTGTATTGAGATGCAAACTGATTTAAGTTCAGTGTCCCAGTGGTTCAAGGAGAATAAAATGTTGAATATTGCCAAATGTCATAGTTTAACTTTTGCACGAAAATTCAACGAGATCTTGATATTGTTTGTCAATGGTCAGTCAGTTGGCTTTTACCCTTAAATCTAACTAAGTGTTGTGTCCTTCACTCGGGAAGACAAATCCGCGATTTACATACAAGATCTCTGACCACAACATCGAAGCAGTTTCCAGCCACACTGATCTGGGCGTTGTAGTCAACGATCGTCTTTCCTGGTCAGAGCATATTCACCACGTTACATCAAAAGCTAAGAAACTTCTATACATGCTGGAGAGGTCTTTCAAAGGATCCGATGTCAACAGTTGCGCCTACATTTACAAGGCATTCGTGAGGCCAATTCTTGAATTCGCTGGTCCGGTATGGGACACTGTGCTTCTGCGCGATAGAAATCTCGTCGAATCAGTACAGCGTCGGGCTACTCGTATCCCTTTTGGAGCACGAAGACCAAGCTATGAAGATCGCCTTGAATTATTCAACCTGACCTCATTCTCTGAGCGAAGACTTCGTGGCGATCTTATAGTTACGTTCAGGATTATTCATGGTTTGATGGGCACCAACCTCATGCATCTATACCGTCTGTCGCGCAGCAATCTACGCGGACACAACTTCAAACTGCATAAGGAGCCATTTAAAACAACAGTCCGACAGTGGTTTCTTCCCAACCGCATATGCAACACCTGGAATAGTTTACCTGAAAGTGTGGTTGGTGCTACTTCAGTTAATAGCTTCAAAGTGCATTATGATAGCTGGAGGAGTGTACAAACTTTATAGCTATGAACTGTCTTTTTTTTATTTTTTTCTATTTGATGTATTTGTGTTACGTGTCCGTACACTATATTTACTGCATGAGCTTATAGTACTGTGTACTCTGCTCATCTCAATTATCATAATAATAATAATAATAACTCATAGAGAGGCCCAGAAACTGGGATTTAGCACTTGCAAAGTAAGTTTTCTTATAAAAAAAGCGAAGTAAAAACCCTAAAGTTGCACAACTTGTTTATAGGCCAAAGACAAGCCACTATTAACTCCACTGCAAAAGAAAAATCAGCTTAGATGGGCTAAAGAACATAGACAATGGACACCTCAACAATGATGTGCAATACAACGGAGTGATGAGGCCCGATTCAAAGTTTCTGTTGGTGACAGTCGCAGTAGAGTTATTCGCAAAAAAAATGAAGCATTCCATGTTGACTGTCTGAAGAGAAAAGTGAAATTTCCAGCATCCATTATGGTCTGGGGCAGTATGTCATCAAAAGGAGTAGGAAAACTACATTTTATTGATGGAAATGTGGATACAAACAAATATTTGGCAATTTTAGAAGAATCGCTTTTACCAGTGGTGGAAGAATGTTTGACATCCGGCCAAGATTTTGTGTTTCAGCAAGATGGTGCAGCATACCATACCTCAAAAAAGGCTATAAAATGGATGGAAGAAAATAATGTACCACTTTTGAAATGGGTTTCTAGCAGTCCAGATCTGTCACCTATTGAAACTTTGTGGCATGAGATGAAAAAGGTTCTACGACACCATCCTACTCGTACAATCACCGAACTGAGACAAAAGCTTCAAGAAATATGGGATTGTTTTACACCAAATTTTTGCAAAAACTTGGTTAACACTATGCCCCAAAGAATTTCAGCCGTAATAAAAATAAAGGTGATGTTACCAAATGGTAATCTTTCAATTGTTGCTTTGTTAACTTCGCGCATTTATTCGCACATTGTTTATTCGTTCAGATGTTCTATTAGTTATAGGTCTAAGTGATTTCAAATATGTATTTTTTACGACTAGATTGTATCTAAAATTTTTTTGAGAAAATAAATTGTTTTTTGTGTATTCTCTGTTACTCTAATAGCCAGTAAGCATTCCTACATGTAACTACATTCAAATGTGTTTGTAAGAGTTGAAATAAATAATTTATTGAGTTTTGGTAGAAAGAACTGCAATAAACTGAGCAGACTGGAGTGGGGTGAGCAAATTTGAGTAAAATGAATGCAACAATATCTCGAACATACAGAAGAAAAAATAAGCATCCATTTTCTCCTTTTGTGGCCTCATTTCCTAGTGTTTTTGTTATTTTCCTAAGGTCACTGCCCCCCTCAAGAATGCTCCCATGAGAGGCACCACACATGACACTCTAAAAATGTGATATGATTTTGATACATATTTTATGTAACTTTTGTTAATTACTGTCGTCAGTGATACATAATTATGTATGATATACAGAATAGAAATAGTACACACTTTACACAATAAGTAGAAAAGTCAATGTTTAACTAGAGAAAATTGTTTAGGTTTAGGTCATTTTTGTAGTAACAGAAGAACGAACAGTAGGAATCAAAACAAGTAATCACGACAAAATGCACTTTTTACATAACTAAAGACAAGGACAATGCACTCACCAAAATAAAAATAATGTTACCAAAAACACGGTCAACGTCTGTTTTGGATTCTCCCAATTCAGGACTTTGTAAATTTGTTCGCAACATATGTCGCATTTGCTGATTTTTCTTCCCTCATTTTCTTCTACCCTCTTCACGAAATACGAAGTAAAATTGGTGAATTTACTCCGAATATACTGCATGATCGAGCGCTTGTACTGCGTCAAATAACTTATCAAAAGGATATGAGCAATAACACTGGTAATTTTTCAGGTAGGTGTAGTCAGTAAACAAAAATGTGTATTTATTTTCCGCGAAATTTCTGTCCAACAACACAACGCAGTTTTCTTTTGTCACTCTGACGTAAATTTAGGTTATGATTTTTTTGGCAAGGAACACCGCAATCAACACCACAATAGCGATACAGCTTTTCACCAGTGTTGCCACCTTGCAACAGGAAGTAATCTTGAGTTTTTGTTTTATACAGGGTGTCCGCAAATTTGGGCTTGTCCTTTTCAGAAACAACTACCCTTGAAATAACAAAGGTAATGTGTAGTGAAACGAGGGCGAACAAGTTAAAAAAATAAAGGAAAAAGTACTCACTCTCCAGTTGACTAGAAGGGCTAAGTACGTCTCTGCTCGAAATCATACCGCTCCAACAGAAAATGAAATCAGCTCATGCGCTACCGAGCAGACGCAGGCGGTGGTGCAGACCACGAACAGAGGTAATAAATATGACGCCGTTGCCGCGTTTTCAGTTTTTAGGTAAACGTACTTTATAGGTATTGTTCGAAGTTATCGCCGTTTGATTCAAAAACACAGGTGCGTGCACGACGTAGCCAAGCATCGGTGCAGGCTTTGAGAATGGAGTCCCTCCCCCGAATGAAAGCACCACCTTGTTCAATTCTGAGACGAAGTTCGTCAACCGTATGCACTTCAGTTTTGTACACTAAGCGTTTCATTTCTCCCCAAAGAAAAAAATCACATGGTGTTAAGTCTGGAGATCGCGGAGGCCACGCTATGGGTCCGTTACGTCCGATCCACCTATTCGGACATAATTCATCCAAAAACTCACGCACTTCGCGTCTAAAATGGGGCGGTGCACCATCGTGCAGAAACCACATTGATTGTCTTACACTTAATGGCACATCTTCTAACAAGGAAGGCAAAATGTTGCGTAAAAAGTCTAGGTATTGCATCCCGTCCAATCGATTTGGGAGAATAAATGGTCCAATGAGCATACCGTTCACCATGCCAGCCCAAACATTCACCGAAAATGTTTGTTGAAAATGTGCCCGACGGACAGCGTGCGGATTTTCTACTGACCAAACATGAGTGTTGCGAAAGTTATTCACCCCATTACGCGTGAACGTAGATTCGTCTGTCACCAATATGCACTTCAAAAAGTCTGGATTATTGTCATGTTGATGCAACAACCACTCACAAAACCGCACTCTTGCTGGAAAATCGTGAGGTTGAAGGGCTTGTACACGTTGGACGTGAAACGGATACAGCTCCTCTTCACGCAGCGTTTGCCACACTTTAGGTTTTGATACTTGCACTTCTCTAGCCACGTCTCTAGTGCTTGTTGAAGGATTCTCGTCTACGTGATACGGTAGTTCTTCCTCAACTTGCACCATCTGTGGTTGTCTAGGCCTTCCACTGTGCCCACCTCGAAATTCCTCCAAATGGCCCATATCCCTGATTCTCTGGACCAGGTACACAAATCTGTGGGGCCTTGGATGATGTCGTGTAGGGAAACGATCTGCATACACTCGCGAAGCCTCTGTAGCATTTTGAAGACATTCGCCATAAATTAACAACATATCAACGAGTTCATTAATGGTGTATGAGTGTGCCATTATTATTTTTTTTTGAAACGCAATCGATTATACGGGTTCGTTTACCTCTACATGCGTGACCGTAACCGTCGGTTGAAGGTTGCATACTGACCTGAGACACTGACCCCGACCCAGTTCTGTCGTCGGGTTGAGCCAGTGACCTTGTACCACTCGGTGATGTCGCGGGTCGCGGTTACAGGACGGTATTCAGATATTTTTGATGTTGCAGAGCCCTTTATCTCGGTTCCCTTAAGACATTGGTGTATATGGTACTAAGAAAAATTGCTTATGTTTTCAAGATCTACACGTCGTGTAAAGGAAAACTCCAACTTTTCGGACACCCTGTATATATATACATATATTAATAACATCAAAAATTTCCTATATACCGCCCCTCACCCCCTATAACCCTCAATCCCCCAATTTTTTTACTCCTAAAACTTTTTATAAAAAATGATCAGGATCCTCTGAAACATCAAAATTGAAGTTTAAGCTACTTGGATTCTTTTTCGTTTTCGACCACGACCAATTTTCAAAAACTGCAAGGCCTTTTTTTCGTCCTTGGAATAGTAATAACATTGTGTAAAAGTATCATCGAAATCCGAGCGGTACTTCTCAAGTTACAGGCGGTACTAACATCAAAAAATTGAGATAACGCCTCCCCATCACCCACAACCCCCACCCCCAACTTTGTTTACCTCTGATTGATTTTTCAAAAATGATCTTTTTCGCTACGCCGCTTGACCAACGGAAATGGGTGACATGGTTTTCCGTGATGTGCATCCAAAAAATATAATTTCTCATTTTCGAAAATCTTCACGAATACAATACTCTCTCTGTTAGTTTTAATATACTTCACCATCCAAAAAACCTATATAATGTCAAAAAATGGTATAATGTTACTTTCTAAGATACGTAATACTCCTCGTTGACAGATGTGCATCATCTGCCAATAATTGTCAAATTTTTTGCATCCGGAGGAATTTTTATATTTTGGCAAGAAAGGAGGCAATACTATTATGGAAGCTGAACCCGAGGGGTCCCCAGGCGACCCCTATACTGCTTTGAGTGGAGTTGGCGCGGAGTGCAGCGCTACTTTGGAACAATCTTCAGAAAACCAAAACGAGATGACGCCAATGATAACATCAAGGATGACACCGATACTGGAGCAGGAAAACGAGAACCAGAGACTTTTGAAGATAATTGCAGACCAAGCAGCCCAGATTCAGAGACTGACTGACTGTGTGGAATCACTTAATTCCCAGGTTTTTAAGCTTACAAGAATCATTAATAAATCAGTTCCTAATGTCGATTCTCCGAAAACAGCAAAACGTAGACATAACAGCCATTCGAGTGACCTACATACTGAGACCCAAATAACAAAATTCAGGCAACCTAAAACCGTCTGTGTCTGTACCTTCTACCGCTTCTACTAGTCAGCCAAGGAAAAGACCTTTATCAGCATGTACACAAAGTGCACCTCCTGTTATACCCCAAGTGCAGTCTGATCCATTGGCTGTCTGCAATTCATCTTCCTGCCCCATCCAGCGGATCTCTAAACACACAGACCCAATCGCCTACCCAGGGGCGTATTGCTCCAATCGTGTTGAGAGATGCGACAAAATGGCGCACCTTAAACTATTCCTTTGTAAGCCTTGGTATTCGTATTGAACGAGCAGTCGCCGTTGACGCTGGGATACGTATCATCGCCAAAACCGAAGACGATTATCGCAGGATAATCCGTCTTTTCAAAGAGGAAAACATTCCTCATCACACTTTCCCTTTGCCCACTGAACGCAACATGGATGCGGGTATCCCAGCGTCAACCACCGAACAGGAGGTCAAAGATGAGCTAAATCAGAAGGGCTACGGTCCCTTTCACATCATTTGCCTAAAGCGCATCAACGGCGCGGTCAGATGTGGTGCCAGGCTGCACGAGACGGATCTGTAAGTCCTGTTTGACTGCTCTAGGTTAAATTCCACCAGTGGGATTCGACTTTACAACTATGTGATACGAAACGGCTACCTCATACACAGCACTGAGGAGCCGACTCACCACCCATTTAATCACCTTCAGGCACTAGATGTCATTGGCTTCGCGATATCTAAAAACTGTAGATACAGTGTCACTTCTCGAATCATGTATGACATTTAGAGCGATCATCTGCCTATCGTACTGGAAGTGGGTAATCAGCAAACCTTGGAAGGGGAAGCTCTTCCAAGGAAAAGGGTTGATTGGGAGCTATACAAGTCGCTCCTTAGAGAGTTCCCAATATCCCTGTCATAGATGATGAGAACGATATAGATGCTGCTCAAACGGAGTGGACAAGTTCCGGTCATCAAGCTCTGCAGCGTGCAGCTGTACTACCAGTACAACGACACGGCAGACCTTTTCTCCCTGCAGACAATCGTCAGAAAATTTCTGACAAAACAGCTGCAATTAAGCAAGCGAAGAGGTCTTGTTACCCAGATGACATTCACAGAGTAACGAATCTTGTTCATGAAGTGAGAAATGCTCTTCGTGAATTCCGTAATGAGCAATGGAGCGACTTTCTGTCGGGGATGCAAAATCGGTCAGAAACGGAAAGCGAGAACAACTTCCGCACATCCACGGTCCTAGGGGCATAGTCTGTAGGACAGAGGAAAAGGTCGAGGTTTTCGCTGATGCAATGGAAAGTCAGTTCTCTCCCAACTATGACCTAGATAATGACCTCGACGAGGAGCAACATATTGTAAGATCCGTCAGGAGATATTTTAAAGCCAAGGGCGTCAGTGGCAGTAGTGCCTCCCTTTAGTGATGCGTAAAGCACCTGGAGAGGATCGAATCACTAATCAGGCGCTGAAGTAACTTACACGACAGTCCTTAACTTATCTCGTCACAATAATCAATGCCATGCTAAGGACCCAACACTTCCCAACGGCGTGGAAGACCGCTGATGTCATAATGATTCCAAAGAACGTGGGTTCGATATTCCCCCAGGATTACTGCCCCGATAGTCTACTGTCAGTTCCTTCTAAGCTCGCTGAAAAGGTGATTCTACGTCACCTTGACAATTTCTCGTCAGACCACAATGTGATTCCTGACGTGCAACTTGGCTTTCGATCTGAGCATAGTACGGAGCTACAGGCCATAAGGCTTGTTGGACGAGTAACCAGGAGGTTCACCCGTAACGAAAGTACTGGCATCTTACTTCTGGATGTCTCTAAGGCATTTGACAAGGTGTGGCACAAGGGCCTTCTCTACAAATTGATCCATAAGTGCTTCCCCTTCTGGCTCCTAAAACTTTTGAAATCCTGGTGGCCCAGTCGTGTTCTGGGGATCTAGTTTCAAGGCAGGCTGCTAAGTGCAGTGGACGAGGTATTGGAATGGGCAAATCGGTGGCTAATCAAAATTAATCATTCGAAAACGCAGGCAATCTATTGTACTAAAAAACGTAGCGGCGCCCCGTCTGAGCTTTCAGTGGTTGGAGCTCGGGTACCATGCGAAAGCTCTGCTAAGTATCTCGGTGTCACTCTTGACAAGGGGATGACCTGGCAGAAGCACACTGTACGTTAAAAACTAAATTCCAAATCTCGTTTCGGCAACTCTACCCTATACTATGTAGAACATCAAAATTATGTTTGATCAACAACGCATTTGCGTAGCCTGCAGGTTTTGCAGAACAGAAGCTTGCGTACAATCACTAACGCCCCATGGTATGTTACCAACGAGACCCTTCACATAGATCTTGACATCCCTTACCTAAGAGACTACATCAAACAACAAGCGCAGCTACGTTATAGTCAAGCGGAATCGCATAGCAACCCTTTGTTGCGCGAGTCAGTAGACTACACGGTCGAGCAAGTTCGCAAGCACACAAGGCTGCGACTCGCACTGTGAACAAAATTAAATCGTGCGACTTTAGGTCCAACCAAAATTATAATTTTTCTTCCACAACTAATCCCAAAATTAATTTTAGGTTCAATTTAAAATTGCCAAATACTAATTAGCAATGCTAAGGCACCCCTCAAATTGACGCACTTCTTTTTTCTTTGCTCTCCCTCCTTCCTTCCTTTCTTCTTCCCTTCTTTTTCCCTGACTTTGTTTGGTATCTGGGCACCCAGACCTGACATACCTACTGACTTACAAGACTTTAACCAAGAGAAAAGGTCCTACGGACCGCTCTGACAGACAATGACGATTAGAGAATAGAGAGACGCAATACTCCTGCAAATTGCAGGCCGGAGGTCATTTTCAAGTACTTCGGGAAATTTTACTTAAAAGTTGTCGCATATTGTGAGGCCTATCGTGAAACTGGAAATGTTGCCAAAAATGCTAAAATGCAGAATTTTTCCGAACATTGAAACTTGGAACGCGTCTCATGCCGCCATACAAAACTCTTCAGAAAAAGAATAGCGTATTATAAGATATGACCTGTCCTCCATCGATATCATGAAAATGGCTAGTTTTCATCGTAGAGGTAGTGGAATTTAAGTTATTTTTTTTATTTTATTTTATTTATTTAATCTCTTACAAACACATTTGAATGTAGTTACCTACATGTAGGAGCGCTTGCAGGCTAGTAGAGAAACAGAGAATACACAATAACTTATAACTAAAAAATAACAACAAAGAAAAACTATAAAAATTAACAAACAAATAAAATAAGATAAGGATGTTTTACTTAAATTTAAAATCATTCTTAATTTGTCTCACAGTACTCTAAAGGAGATCCACATCACAATTTTGTATATAACTATTACACTCATACATCATTCTATTGATAGATGAACAACTTACAGGCGAACAGTGAAAGAGTTTGTTACCTCTTATTCTCAAGTTGAATCTAGGAACAGCAAAGAATATATTATTTATTAGGGAACACTTCTTATATTTTAAATTGTTAATTATGTAGTAAATGAACAAGATATCATTCAAACCACGCCTGACGCTCAAGTGCACAATTTTAAATTCTGTTAGCATACTATTATAAGAGATCATGTATGGATAAGCATTGTGTGTCCTTATGATCCAATGATACGCCACTGTCTTCAGGACATCCGGTATCGTTTTGAGCGCGGTGTGTCGGGGTTCCGCCGCTCTCCGCGACGACAGATTCTCCACTAATCCGGTTACGGGCACGCTCCTCATGCATGAAGTATTGATCCACCTTTGTTTCTGACAAAATCGTAGAAAATCCAACCAGTTTCGATTTTTTGTTAATAACCTGAGCGATAGCAAAGCGAATGAAAAGATTTTAGCGAAATAGTATTTCGATTAATTAATCTCCATTATCCAGTAAGAATGTCAAATTGAAAGACGCGCAGTTTTGGAGTTTCTGAACTGGAAAGTTATCCTGCGCAGTACGCTCGTGTGCAGCATCTGAGATGTGAAGGGGCAACAAATTCGCGTTCATCTCAGATGTTTAGTAAATATAACAGCCCTTATTCACCAGGAAATTGAACTATGTATCCGCTGTTATCAGTTTTGGTGGTGGCCAAGGTTGTGGTATTAGGTCAGTGTAAATATTTAATGTCAAGATAATTTTTTATTCTTAAGTTTACGGTAGCGTATCGAGATATGGTTTATTTGCATAAATTAAACTTGTTGCGAGGTCATATATTATGCTTTTTGTTGTATAGATTCAGTGAATGCAAGATTGTATAGCACGAAATAGTTGCTGATTTCTCATTTTTGCTTTAATTCATGAGTTTTGTAGTTTTGCATCGCCGTCGCAGGCAAAACTATAATTTACGTTGCCAGACTCACGTACATACGTAATTGCTTTTGCAGGGCACGTTACTAGAATCCTAGTTTTATCTATCTTACTCTTACTCTACTTTTAAGCACATATCGAAGTATAGTCTAACATTAATTATAACATAAACGTATGTTCTACAATAATTTCACTGTTAGTTTGATTAAATTCCGCTTCTTATACGTTTAAGTTATCTAAAAATAGGCAAAAAATTAATGAATTTTAGTGTGTACCTATCCTTGAATTTTCAGAATAATTTAAAAAAAATATATTTTCTATAAAGGGGGGTTCTTTAAAAAAATCAATGCGAGCACTTATTCCCAATGCGAGCATTTATTGGTCAGACACCAATAAACATAAAATAAACTATAAATAAAATAACATAAGCAATAAGTCAATATTTTTAGTGAGAAGGATGAACCTGATGCTTTAATAATAAATTATCAACATTTGGCGTCAATTTTGTAAGGGAAATCTCCTCGGCTAACGATGTCCAGTCGTTTTCTTTTTTTCGTTAGAAGATTGGTAACAGCGCTGAACCCCCTTTCCACTAGGTATGACGGTATGACTGAGGTAATACGGGATAAGTAACGGGTATGTTTTTTGCAGCCAGAATTGCTGATATCCGTTTTTAAACTGAACCTTAAGTTCTTCGTTTGTACTTAGTTCAGTCAGTTCCTCTTGTATTATGACATTCGTTTCTTCTATGTCACCATATGGATTAATTATCCACGGTGGTATTACCATAGGCAAAATATCCTCAAACCTAGATTCAAAATCTGAATAGAGGGCATTTAAATGTTGAACGTAAGTTGAAACGTCGCGTCGTCTTCCTGGCAGCTTGTCTGTGACAAATTGAGGAACTGAGAAAATTCGCCCGTCCAATATTTTGCTTCATTAGTTTAACTCTGGCAAGAAACGCTGATAAGATGGACTTTGTTTTAATCAAATTTAAACTGTCGCCTTGTAATTGCAAATTAACCATATTAAATTTTGTAAACAAATCTGTTAAATAGGCGATGTCTGTTTTCCTCTTCATTAAATTTTCTTTTAAAATTTTATCTTTAGTATCCAGAAATTCTGAAATAGTCTCAAAAAGTGCAAAAACTCTTGTCAAACATAAGCCTTTCGACAGCCAGAGTACTTCAGTGTGAAGGAGTAATTGATGAAAGTGTTCGTCATTTTCTTCACACAACTGCGCAAATAACCGCGTATTCAACGCGTTGCTTCGGATTCGGTTTACTGCATCAATGACTAAATGAAGTGATTCATGCAATCTAAAACTCAAATTTTTAGCAACTAAATGTTGTCGATGGATGACGCAATGTATTGCTAACACCCCTGACACATTTTGTTTTAAATTGCTTATAAATCCACGATAACGTCCAACCATGGCAGGTGCTCCATCTGTAGCTACTGATATTATATTTGATAAAGGAATTGCTTTTTCAATGAAGTAATCCTTCAAAACATGAAACATTGATTCACCTTTAGTGTCGGTTATCAAGGTTCTTGCGAAGAGCAGTTCTTCGTAGATTTCTTGATTTATAATAAAACGAACATATGCCAATAATAATGCTGCATTATCAGGTAAAGTTGACTCGTCCAGTTGTATAGAGAAATGGGTCCTTTGCAAATAATTACATAAGAAGTTTTAGATCGTTAGTTGTTAAAAATATATATCAATACACCCGAACACATTAAAAATTAACGAAAAGCAATTTTGGGGACAAAAGCCGGAAGGTCTCTTCTAACCTCCTACATCGATGGTTTCCGTCGTTATCAATAAACCCAATGTGTCCGTCCGTTTGCTTTTATATTTGTAACAAGTGCTCTCATCCCCGCGTTCGTTTTGAAACACCATTTGGCTGCAACCTCAACGACGAGTAAGTTATTTGGCAATTTGAATCTTTCCTGTACTGGTTGCTAGCATCATAACTGTGTTTTCAGCTCCTGAAGAAGGCTCCATAAAGAATGCCGAAAGCTCGAGATTACCGTTAAAAGAGTTTACTACAGCCAAAAAGTTTGCCAATTTACCAATTAACAATTAATTGTATTTTTTGCCCAACTGGTCGTTGGCAATGGCAATGACTACTGCTTATATATATATATATTTTATATATATATATATATATATATATATATACTTAGTTGCTCTCGTTAGTCTATTGAGTTCGTCAAGGTTTGCATTACTCCAAATGAGTATGAGTATTGCTTATGTGTTTATCGCTTTAAACATATTTCTGCCACTAAGAGTTTGCTGGATAAAACTTGCTTAAGTCGTACCTCTATTGCTTTTTCAGCTGCTGGTTTGATGTTGCGAGATTTATTTTTTTATTTTAAGGAACCCCAAGGTATTCATACGTTTCATCTGGTTGCCATATTGTCAACAGTCTGGCTATTTAGAGTTGTTGCTTCTCGTTCTTTCCATTGTCCTATTTCAATATGTAGAATCTTATTATTATCATCATTATTATTATTAATAATAATAACAATAATAATAATAATAATTATTATATATATATATATATATATAATATATATATAATTACACTGTACAACAAATTTTAGTTTTTTAATTGTATCTTGTGGGAAAAGTGCACTTCTTTGTTAATTTTGGGGCGCTGAATCCAAAAATGACAATGAAATAAAAAAATTAGTTGCGGTTTAGAAAAAAACTTTTTATTTTTAAGGATATATTAAAAAAAGTAACAAGATTCATATACATATAAGAATCACTATATGCGCTGTCTTTTTGCTGTTCTTTTATGGATCGTTTCTGGAGCATCTCTACCAAGAGTCCAACAGTAGTTTGCAAGCATGGAAGGATTCCACTTTCCCTGGTACCTTTTTTCCATTGTTGAAATATCCTGATGAAAACGTTCGCCGTGCTCATCACTTACGGCTCCGCAATTGTCTGGAAAAAAGTCCCGGTGTGAGTGTAGGAAATGTATCTTAAGAGACATATTACAGCCCATCTTTTGCTACGATGACAGCATATTTTTGACAAGGATTTTATAGTTGTCAGCTTTTCTATTTTCCAAGAAATTAGTGACCACCAGACGGAAATCATTCCAAGCAGTTTTTTCAATACCTGTTAAAGTGTTTTCAAACTGTGTATCTTTCAAAATATTTCGAATCTGTGGCCCAACAAAAATACCTTCTTTAACCTTTGCCTCACTTAGTCTTGGAAATTTCTGACGCAGGTATTGAAAAGCTGACCCATCTCTATCTAATGCCTTGACAAAGTTTTTCATTAGGCCCAACTTGATATGCAGTGGTGGTAATAAAATTTTTTTCGAATCTACTAATGACATATGCTGTACATTTTTTTGACCTGGCTCTAGGAATTGACGAACAGGCCAGTTTTGTCTGGTGTAATAAAGTGCCTTTGCCCGACTGTCCCATTCACACAAAAAACAGCAAAACTTTGTGTAGCCTAGCTGCAGCCCAAGTAAAAGTGCAACAACTTTCAAATCGCCACAAATATGCCATTGGTGCTCATCGTATTTTATGCATGTCAATAGGTACTTCATATTGTCATATGATTCTTTCATGTGAACTGCATACCCTACAGGAAGAGATGGTAAAATATTTCCAATATGCAATAACACTGACTCAATGTTGAACTGTCTATAAACAATCTCCATTCTTCTGGGTTATAGTTTATATTTAAAGCCGCCAGTAAGCCGTTAATGTTACTGCAGAAAACCAAGTTATTCTCCATATTGAAAAATGGTTCTAAGTCTTTGTGGCGTTTACGAAAAACACATACCGAAACATCGTCTTCTAACAAGTTCCACTGCTGCAGTCTTGATCCAAGTAACTCTGCCTTACATTTTGGAAGTTCTAAATCTCTTACAAGATCATTTAATTCTGACTGTGTTATTTTGTGCGGTTGGTGGCGTGACGTGCTCGGTATAAAATCAGGATCTCTTGACGTTGATGGCATATCTTCTTCCTGACGAATCACTCGATCGCCATGATCTGATTCGTTTTCTGATTCGCAAGTGTAGGATTCTGGGGGTTTTGGAATAGGATTTTCGTCACTGTGAGGCACAGGTCTCATCGCAGATGGTATGTTTGGGTAGTTAATAACCGATGTTTTTTTCTTGGACATACCTGTGGCTTGTCCAACACAAGGTACCATGCAAAAGTAACAATCATTAATATGATTTGTAGCCTCTCTCCAAACCATTGGGACAGCAAAGCGCATAGACCGTTTTTTGCCATTTCACCAGCTCCTCAGACTTGAAGCACATGTATTACAGCAGATGTGGGGTGCCCACTGTTTGTCTTGATCACCTAGTTTACAACCGAAATAAAGCTGATATGCCTTTGTTATTAGTGGAGTAATAGACCGTCTCTGAGACGCAAAAGTCACATCACCACACACGTAACAAAACTGATCTGGATTGTTTACACACTTTCGAGACATCTTGCATGAACGCTGTCAGCCAACTGAGGAAAAAATGGCTAATATAAAACAATATAATGTACACGCATGTATAACGTAACAATCATGCCGATTACATCAACTTTCCTTGCCGAATATAAACATGTAGCACGTGCATTCTTGTGAATTACAGTATATTAACACTGTCACCGCAGGAACACATATAATTACCGTATCTCTGAAACTTGAACTAATATTGAAAAAATAAGTTTCATTCCGGTTTTAGCACATTAAAAATAGTAATATTTTGTTGATTTTATTTAGGATATTTTTTGGCTGTTGATCAGTGTTATTATTATTATATATAATAATAATAATTATTATTGATAATCCAAACAAAAGATCCTTTGAATGTTTGCCTTCTGACTTGGTATAACACCCGGTATAATTCTTCATATGTTTTTTTAGCATCTACTGTATCGAGTACTTCCGTGAACAACAACTCGACATTGAACTGTTATCAGTGCAAGAAAACTTCGTTTACAGAGTGCCCATCGACTGACCTTCAACCCTGCTCGCCAGATCAAAATATATGTGTAACGATCATCTCAAAAAGTGGTAAGAAAGTCACAAATTTAAGACCGTTTCCATATTTTACGGACTCATGACATACACAACTCTACTGTCTATTCATTATACATATTAATTTGCTGACAACTTTAAAATAGCAATCCCTATACAAATCCTGCCATGAGATACTTTCAGACTCCAGCGATTGTCACGAGAGGAAGATTTCTTATGCAAACTTCTATCCTTTGGCCTCCCAGAAAAGCTTTGCACATGGGTGGCTGACTTTCTCTCTGGCCGCAAGATATCCGTCGTAATTGACGGGTTCTATTCTTTATCACACAACGTCAACGCGGCTGTTCCCCAGCGATCGGTCTTGACTCCCACACTGTTTCTCTTACATATCAACGACCTCCTTTCTTGTACGATCAACCCAATCCACAGCTTTGCAGATCGATGACAGCACTCGGGGTGCAGGAATCAGAGTGACAAGCCGATCTCTGCCGCTGAGTTGGAAAAAAAGACTAGCGACGACTTCCTCTCTAACGAGAGACCCGGAGATTATCACTGCTTGGGAATGCAAGAACCTTGTAAAGCTTAATGCTTCCAAAACACACTACTATACCTTGCGCTAATTCCGTTTCGATGGATGGCCGAGTTCTGCCAAAAAGCAGCTCACTTCAGCTGGTCGGATCACCGAGGACTTGATCTGGCACGAACAGGAACGTATTGTCAATAGCGGCAGCTGCTGGGAAAAAGCTAGGCTAATTGCTCAGGGCTAAGAAGTACTTTCCTTCACATCACCTTCTCACTCTATACAAGGCCCAGATAAGGCGTAACCTCAAGTATTGATCACACGTTTGGGGTGCTGCCGCCCCGACTACATTATTTATGCTCGATGCTGTCCAGAGTCCGACTGATCGATGACTGTTCTCTAACATACAATCTCGGGACCCTTTCGCACCGGCGGATTCTAGAGGCGTCTCACCTCTGTAGATGTTACAGCTAACTTTATCTTAACTATTGATAAACATATCTCATCTAACTATTTTTGACTTATGACAATTATTATCGTGATTATAAGGCTATCATGGATAGAAAACAGCAAAACAATAAAAAATACTAAGTGAAAAATTGACCTGAACTTGATATGGACACTATTCACAATACCACAACACACATATGCTTCGACAATTCATCTGTTAGAACAATATTCGAATAAGAGGGCCCTTGTTTTCACGAATAAGCGTGAAATTTACCAGGGTAATAGTGGTTGTTGAAATGTTTCTGCCATCAGTGCCTTTCTTAGCATTCCATGTTTCAAGTAAATCTTTTACAGACTGTCTCACGTGCAGAAAGGTATCTAAAATATTGAGTATGCTTACACATTCATTTACAAATGACTGAATTGTTTATTTTTGCTCAAACGAAGTAGGAGGGCAATAATTGTGCACCACTCACACATGTTGTTTAAAGTGTTTTATCAGATAAATTGAAACAAGCTTCATAGGTATTGATTATTTCTGTTTCTGTTATCACACCTTTAAATTATATGAAGTTTCATTTAAATTGAGGTAATAAAAACCGGAAATTGCTGGTGACACTTATGCATTCCGGTTAATATTCCAATTCTTACAAATTCTCTTTAATTTTAAATAGATTCGTTTGTAAAACCCTGAAATTGTTGGAATCATTTTGCAAACAATGTATACCAATCAATAATTTAAGAGATTAATGTTTGCTGTTCAAAATTATTCTCTTCAGTGGTCAACAAAAATCCAATTGTATCATTCATTATCTGCTACCATTTTAACTACGAGGGTTGTCTCAAAAATTTTTTTCAGGCACAAGGAATTTTTCCACCGAAAACGTTGATCTTTAAGCTATTCTTCTACATAGTCACCATTTTTTCTAAGCACATGTTGAATGCTTATACACGTTTCCCATAGACTTCACTCAACGGGATATGAATTTCTATGGGTGGTAACGTTTTTACTTGCAAAAATCGAATGAGTGCACGAATTTGTCAGGTTGGTGCTGAGCACCGCCAATAGGCGCTTCTTGTTGGGCTCGGTGGTGGGGGAGCCGACAAACACGACGATGTTGCCAGATTTGGACTGTTGAATGCTTATACACGTTTTCCATATACTTCACTCAACTGGATATAAATTTCAATGGGTGGTAACGCTTAAACTTGCAAAAATCGAATGACTGCACCAATTTGTCATGTCGGTACTGAGCACCGCCAATAGGCGCTTCTTGTTGGGCTCGGTGGTGGGAGAGCCGACAGACACGACGATGTTGCCAGATTTGGACTAGCATCACGCGTGGCATAGGGAACCTTATTTTTGAAACAACCCTCGTTCACATATTTTCTTGACCATGTAGATAATGAAAATCAGAATAACAAACACATTTAGATTGCCATATTACACATGTTGTATTTTTACAGTGGCTGATGGATTTTACATAAAACGAGAATGTGGAAAATCTCCATGCAGATTTGAAGATGAAGACGTAAATGTCAATCTTGGATTGGAAAGGTGCGACCTGAAAAAGAAGGAATACTTTTGCTTCTTTTGTTGTAAAGAGAATGGTTGTAATAAAAATAATGATGGACGGATTATAAGACCGGTAGAAATGTTATATCTCATTGTTTTGTATGTACCTTTTTCAATGTTCGTAAATAAATTGTGTCGATAGTTTGATAAATTTTAGCTTTTATTTATGTCTAATACACAGATACACACTTATTATACATATACAGGGTGTAAACGTTACAATAGTCATTATTTAAATGGGTGATAGAGGGGTTTAAAAGAAGCACAAAGTTCCATATAACATGGGGGTCAAAACGGCATTTTTTTAGAGAAATCCGACTTTAAAGTAAAATAAAATCTGACAACGCCGCAATGCCAGACGCAAATTACGACGGAACGCAGTGTAAATAAAGATGGAGTTTGTTATTTCTGGCTCTTAGGTATTATTTCATTATTTGATAATGTACTCGCAAAATGAAAAAAATTAAAAGAAACGGACTTACCTCTAACTGTCTCAGCGCTTCACCTGGTGTGTGAAAGCTTATTGAACGTATTAAAAAATGCAAATTTTCCCGTAGGATTCTATGGACTATGGTATGCGATAGTCCTACGCGGCGGCCTAATTCCCGAGTGCTGATATCTGCATTGATTTCCACGATTATATTTGTTCCTCCTGCTTTACAGTAACCTGTATTTCACGAGTGCGAATATTAGTGGGCTGAACACTTCCTGTATCTCGAAGTCTTTGACACACTTGCACAAATGTCCTTCTGTCTGGGTGTACCCGTTGGCGAAATCTGTCACGATAAATTTGAGCTGCAAGATTTGAATTCTGACGAACTCTTGATTCGAGAACATTGTAAATCAAAACGACAACGTACGCGAACAAAAACAAAACAACATACTAACCACTGTTACCATTTGCGATCGATTGCCGGATCGATAAGAATGATGATGACCGGCGCGCTGTTGTCATGTGTGTTTTAAATACTCAATTTAATGAAACTTACTTGCTTACTGACTACCAATTTTGGCTTAACTTAGAAAAACTCAATGCCATTTATTTGTTAATTACCGAACTTAAAAACGTTTTAAATTAGATTATAAAATTTAGTAAGATTGTAGTGATTGTGGTCGATATAAAGCACTTAAAGTTGTAAACTATAAAGCCATATAGACAAAAATCTATTGACTTTTGGACCATGGGTTATATGAAATTTTTGACTTGTTTTGACTACCATAGCGTTTACAATATAGCCAAATTAATAATACCTATGTTGTTGGGTCACAACTGAAACTGAGGAAATAATACAACGCTTTTTAAAACGCAAATGCTTATACATTTTTGAATGGTCTAATTAGCAAGCTAAAATTCCAGGTTATAACATAAAGTTGTTGCACAAATACTATATTTTTGTAATTGAAAACTTCAAAATGACGTCTAGGCCTATCTTGGAAGATTTTGATAAATAGAATGGCGAGTCATATGATATCTCATTTTGAAGGTTCTTATCGATACTTTATAATCCTGAAACATAAATTCACTATCTTTCAAAATGGTGGACTGGCAGGCTATCAAAGTTGAAAGCTTTTGAACTATGATTGTATTTAAGAAAAAAGTTTTATCTCGACATCTTACTAGCAATTGTTAAATAATTCTAGAAATGAAAAATCCCTTCTACATACCGAAGTTTGGGACACTAACCTTGTCTATTCTTAGTTTATGAATGCAAAAGACTTGACTTGAATCTTTACTTTCTTTACCAAAATCTTTTATACCCCATTCGTAGTCTATTTACGCCCAAACAAAACACATGCCCAAAAGCGAGATTGTACAGATCCGTATTTTCCTAAATGGCCTTGGAATAATCTAACAAAATAAATGATTATTTTTATAAAAAGAAGTGCACATACTTTTCACAATTCTTTATTCTTGATTCATCGTCCGAATGGTTAAAATTAATTATTACAGGTTTAATTTGAATATCGATCACATTGTCCAGACCCCACATCTTTGTTTCGATTGTGTCTTGAAAATCGCCAAATTTCGCAGCAAATATCCCCCGTATAAGATCAAAGGCAGTTTCACCGGTCCACGTGGAGTAAAGCACGCCTATGCGTGGACATAACCAATGAGAAAGCGTGTATTTCAGAGCTCCGAAAAAGTGCAGGTGGCTACTGAAAATTGAAACAGTTTAGCCAGTGCCGTGTAGCGGTGAATAAACGTGTTTTCTTTAGTCTGTCCGTGTTTTTTCATAGATTTTATTAGTTTGTGTGTTTTTGACTTTTGAATACTCAGTTTACTTGTTGATTTAATTGTTGTGTTGATTGTTCTTGTGTGTCCTAAATATGGCTCTTTAGAGACCTTCGGAAAATGCTCCAAGCCACGAGGAGATGGTTGATGAACCTGTGCAGGCAGAATTCTTTCATAAAGATTTAGAGGAACAGACCCAAAGAGTAATCCTAAATATGTATGATTGTTTTAAAAACGAAAATCCAGATTCCTCGCAAAATCAAATTTTAAACAGAATTTGTATCCTGACAAAAATCAGTCGGTCTACCATTTATCGGGTTATAAAAAGGGGAGATGTAGTCAACCATTCCTTCCACAGAAAGCGCATAAGGCAAAAATTAAAAAGAATAGACGTGGGTTTTCAGGAAGATATTCGACGTATAATATACGGATTTTATAAAGAAAATTTGGTGCCCACGTTGGAAATGATACGGGATAAATTAAAAGATTATCCTGAAGATTTTTATAATTACAAATGCTTAGACTCACTGCACTGTATTGTAAAACTGTGTGGTTTTCAATACAAAAAATTAGATAAAAGAATGTTGATTATGGAGTCGTATCGAATCGTTGAATTGCGCCAAGAATTTTTGCACAAAGTTAAAATCTATAGAGAGCAGAAAAGAAATCTGATTTACCTGGATGAAACGTGGTATGATACCTATGATGTTGTGCAGTATGGCTGGGTTGACGACAGCAACAAGTGCATTTTAAATGCATCATGCAACCGTGGAAAACGAATCATTATTCTCCATGCTGGCAGTGAAAATGGATTTATACCTAATGCCTTGCTGTTAACTGCCAAAAATATCAAAGAATCATGTGCCGACTATCATGAGGACATGACCTCCGACTTATTTGAAAAGTAGATAGAGCAGCAGTTAATACCAAACATTTCCCCAAATTCAGTGATTATTATGGACAATGCGCCATACCATTCCCGACAGAAAAACAAAATTCCGAATACAGGCACAAAAAAACAAGACATTATTGATTTTATGAAGGATAAGGGAATGGAAATACCACAAAAATCAACCAAAGCTATATTATTGGATCTTATTAAAAGACAAAAATTTGAAAAAGAGTATGTTGTTGATAATCTGCTTCAGCAAAATGGCCATGAAGTATTACGTCTACTTCCCTATTACTGCATTTTTAACCCGATTGAGTTGGTCTGGGCTGCTTTAAAAAAAAGTAAGAAAACATAATCAGACCCCTCAATTAAGTGAATCGCTATTGGCCACAATAAGAGATGCAGTATCTCATATTGCTGCCACAGACCTATGGAAGCAGTGTTCTAGGCATATTATTGAAAAAGAAAATGAATATTGTGTTTTGCCTCCTGTAAATCCCGTTGTAATTCCTCTACAAGATGACTCAAGCGACAGCTCCGAAGGCGAGGATGATATATAAATACCTATAATGTAAGTCTTTATATACCTTTTTATATACCTACCTGCTATGTAAATATTTGCCTATGTCAAACGTTGGAATTCTGTAATTTTTCCATTTCTTAACTTTCAGTCAACATAAATTAAACTCCCAATATAAGTATTTTTTATCCCAAATCAAAAAATAAGAAGATAGTAAAATCCATTTATTGTGATATAAAAACATTATTATTATCATTCTAAATAAATCACCGCACGCCTATGATACGTCATGAAATTACAAAGGACGCGCCGACCAAAGGTTTTTATGCTATTTCAAGTGACTTCAGATATACCATACATTGTGAGGATTTTTTCTACTTTCCTTATCGGTAGCATCCGTGATAACTTTTAAATTGGATTATGCCCAAGAAGTTTGCTGGTGAATCATCAAGTTTAATTTACATCAAAAAATTACGATGCACATTACAACCTGTCCCGTGCTCGAGCGCACTATTAAATGCAAAAACCAGGCTGATGTACGATTGCACTAACATGATACAACGCATTAAATTTTGATATTAATTTCTGAGTTGTCATGCAACTTTCAAAGTTCCCATTGCCGTATTTTATTTGTCAATAATTGCAGTAATTTATGTTATTCGCAAAACAGTTATAGTGCCCACTATTTGCCGTCTGTCCCCGATCATACCACTGGCCCCCCAGTGCATATTGCCGACCGGGCCCTTTTCCTTAAATCCGCCATTGGTCCGTCAAAAAGTATTTTTTATCAAATTTGCTCACAGCTTAAGCGTAAGTGAAGAATCAAGCTGACCGCATAGGCAACCAGTCTTGCGCTACCATCTATAAGCTTACAGTTAAATAAAAATTGACGGATGCAGTGCTGCCAGCGTTTAGTAGAAAATAGCAGTACGGAATCCATTTAATATGTGTGCATTACAGATTTGTCTAAGAACTAAGAGATTTGAAACTTTAAAAATTGGTGGTCGAAATAAATTCGACCCCCATGACCTCCCCACCCCTGGATCCGCGCCTGTGTTGTGTTCGTCACACGTTTTTCAATATCATGAATTTTCATTTCATTTCTAAAATTTCGCTCTTAACACGTTCGCTGCCAACTCGGTCTATAAGACCAAAATTGTGTTTATCTTATTCGCCATGATGGTCCGTAAGACCGAGAAGAAATTTTTCCAGCCTCGCCAACGCGGTCGATTAGACCGAGCCGAATATTCAATCCTCTTTCGCCAGCTGTTTAATTTTGCATTGGTTTAACGCTAGTAGTAGACCGAGTTGGCGTCTGAGGATTGTTGACACATATCAGTTATGTAAAAAATTGATTAAATTTTAATATTTTGTTATTTTATTTCTGGATATGGTAGGTTAGAGAAACAACAATAATTTACTTTATAAATCGTTTATTTTTGCAAAAATCTAGAACGAAAACCGGCAGTTTACAGAATAATAAATAAAAAACGTAAAAAAAAACTT